GAGTGGTGGTGGGAGTGAATAGTGAAGTAAAATTATAAAATAGATGAAATAATTCAATTTAGTAGATTTTGAACTTTAATAGTGAATTCAACTCGGTGAGTGGAAATCGAAATCAAGATTGAGTGGAATGTTATGCAACAGATCAAAATACAAAAGCACACGAACAAAACAACTACAATTACCAGGGTAATGAGAAATTAGTGACGGAGGTTGGATCGAAGTCTTCTGATTGCAATGGATTCTGCAAACCGAAGTATAACCATGGTTTCATTTGTATGCTGATTGTTTTGAAAGCCTGACTGATTTCCAGTGTATATCCGGTGACTGGCGATTCCGCTTGAGAACACTTTGCTACCTTCCATACGGAGAATTTCAGGGATATGCTGGGAGAATCTGATAGACGCTCTCCAGTCAGTCTTTCCTATGTACTTGCTACAGTAAGTGCAGTTGGAATTGACATGAGCAGGATACTTATCTACTTTTGACTGCTTTAACGAGCATACTGTGTTGTAAAGTGGAATGAGTCTAGCGGTAGGAAATGTTCTTTTCAATGCATATGAAAATGCAATTTGAATAAATGACTACTATAATATTATCAGAAGTATGACGACATTTAGTTAAGCCGATCATCTTGGTAGCGAGACTTTCATTATCGAATATCGAGACCTGGAGAACATGAAATCATTCCTTACAGTTAAATTGTCTTTAGTACTGTTAAATTCACAAATGTTTGTATGAAGGAATTTGATTAGTTTTAGGTTAGACCACGCACCGATATCAGTCAGAGAACCACTAAAGACGAAGGAGTACTGGACAGTAATCTAGTCTTATTCTCGAACTCGCTATGAGCACACACACATATATTCTCATTGAGGACCGAATCCAAGACCTTCAGGTTACTAGGCAAGCCACCGGAAAGGAATCCGATGACCCGTGAATTTCAATTCCCGTCAATTCATAATTTATAGCGTCGTCATCAGTCAAAGTCATCAGGGAGCATTTATTCTTGGCGCTGGCTTAAATAATAAAATTATTAATGCATATGACAGCATAAAATGGAAGTCAGGGATATAGAATAGTTTTCATAGTAAGTCTTATTACACATTCACACACACACCGCAATTTGTGTTGGATTGAAAAAATAGAGAGAAATTGTTGCTTAGTTAGATAATGTCTAGAAGGATAATAAAAGCTTCGTATGTACTGAACAATGAAGCTCAGAGAATAAAACGACACTAAAGATAGTAATGTGCTGCTAGGATAAGAACAGCATTAATGGTCCTCAAACCATAGTAATTCTCATCATTTTCACCAATATATGAATACTCTGAGAGAGATTCAATCAAAACTTGTTGTCTTCTAGCTCCTTGCAAATTATGTGGATAGATTATAGTCACTGAATGGATGGTTTCAACGCAGAAATTTGCACAGATGTGCACCAGTACGAATTGCAACACATCCTTCCTGAAACACCAAAAGGAAGAGAACAGAGTAAAGAGAGATTAAAAAGAGAGAGATAAGAAACAGAAATATGAGGCAAAATGAATGGTAATATGGAAGAACAACAGACTTTGATTGAATATGATAGATCACAAAGAGTGAATGAATCTGTAGCAGCCATTGAGAACGATTTTCAGCCATATCACCAGTTGTCTCCGGCTATTCATCCTTAGAATCACAAGAGTTCCAACCATACAGTCTGCACCTCCCTATGTGGCTAACTCAAACTAACTGTCTAGGATTTCATGGACTGATGCCTAGTTTCTATTTGAACCATGCTAGCTCTTTCTCAACCTGATCCAACCTATATAAGCTAACATTACTCGTCGAGAAAGGTGATGGCTAGGCATGCGTAACACACGTCCTAACCATCTCAATCGATGTAACTTCACAACTTTGTCGATTGATTCCCCCTCCTTACATAGCACTCGACTGACGCCTAACCTCAATATCACTCACCTCGCTATACCACTTAACACAGGAGATAAAACGCAGACACCTATGATCAAAGACAACTAGCCAGGCTTTTCATGTATTCCAATTTCAATGGCCATGTTTCACAGCCATAGTGGAGGACAGATCGGACTGCTGAGCAGTATACACGGCCTTTGGTCGACAGCAAGCCGGATATCATGTCTATGCAAGAGATGACGTAATCTGGTTTATGCCAAACGAATCTTCTCTATCTGTGCTGAGATTTCGTCAGCTATCAACCCGCTGGCGTTGGCTGATGCAACATCCTAAATAAGTAAAGCGTTCGAACAAACTCCACTTTTCACTCCCTATCTTTAAGCTAGGAGTCAAAATCCAAAGTATGTCCTTAACGACAGAATGCAAGAGCAAGGCAATAGATCGTTTATTGAGAAAATCAACAGATATTTATAGATTTTTATGTACATTATTATTCGTCATTGTTAGCAGAGCAGCAAAGTCTTCTGACTGGTTGATTTCCAGCTGAAGGTTATTCTGTTATCTCTTTGTTGCCTTTTCTTAGACAGTCCGGTGATATATCTGCGAATCGTATCCGTCCACGCTAAGTCTGCTGTGATTGGTTGTTGAGTTCCTCAAGGTTAGGCTTTGTTCTCTGTTTTTCTCATGACCAAGATTTGGGACGTGTACATTGACGTAAATTGTTGGCTACAATTTTGGCTTGCAGACAGCTCTCACCACATGTTGAGCATCAGAGTCATAAATAAATTCTTTAGCTGACTTTTGGACGGAATCAATTTTGTCAGTACAGGAATGACTACGTAACTGAAAAAAGTTTATTATCGAGTGTTGGTTTGTAGAGATTTAATTGATTTCCAAGTACATCACTAGCCGACTTGATGACAGATAGAGAACAACTGTAGAAACCATTGAGTACTGTCAAATGTTCCGTTATGGTTCGGGTAACTTCAACAGTAGATTCTGTCCAAGTGACCGATACATCCATGGGTTTTCTTCATAACCTGTAGGTCTTGGGTTGGATCCCCAGTGAAGTCGGTGGTACGGACTGGCGAGGAGTCCAAGACTCGGACGAAACAGCTGCCCTGTACTCCCTGGTGTTCAGCTGTTTTGATAGCAACAACTGGACCTGTTCAAAACTGAGGAATATGATTTAATATCCCATCACCAAAATATCTTGATCAGGAGAATGCTGGATTTCAGTTTATTCTTCATGTCACTTCAGTGTACAACCATATATATCACTGATCCCTCGAATACTTTGACGTAGGATTTTAAGACAGTGACTAAACTATGCGACTCGACTTATAATTATTGAAAAAGCCAAAAGCATGCTCTGCTACAAGCTTTAATAGGACACATGTGATTGTGTGCATGTGGCCACACATACTAGGGAGAAGTGTTCGCACTTTGTGCATGTCGGTTGATGAACATATACCCGAATGATTAGAAAACCGAATGAACTGCAAACTGTCGATAAACGTAGGTGATTGGTAGACTATCAACTTCGTCTATACCTAAACACTTAAGTGATATCAAAACAGTTTGGGGACACTTTCTGAAATGCGTGCAGATGGTAGCTATTCCTAAACTTATGGTCCACCCTCTGTATGTACAAAAACAATTTATTATTACTCTTAACCTACCCCGAAAATCCTTGACTGAGCATATTGCCGAATGTAGTGTTACACTTGTTTTTAAGTCTTTCATCGTTTCGTTTATTTAGACTGACCCCTTCGTTTTTCATTTAGATTGATTTGACAGGTATTGCGTATTATGGTAATTATGGATTACTAAAACGCAAACTTAGTAAATCATAGACGCTACACAAATTCTGTTAATAGTTTGTACAAGGGTTGGAATAATGCTCAGATCGAAATGGGTGGTGGTTATCTTCAAGAGCCAACCGATCCCCCCCCCCAACTCGCCAAGACTTTGTTCCAGTAGGCAGTGTGAGCAGCATCCTCATGGTTGCCAGTGTCTGGAATAATATAATAAAACAATGGTTATCCTCAAAGATTCATTAACAAATATGGAAGATCTGAAGGCTCAAATATCAAACAAATCACAGTTGAAGAAAAAGCGTGTCTTCAATCAACTAGGTTTTAAACGTGAAAACATTGCCGCAATGGTCAACAGAAGACTGAGTACGTCATTAGCCAGAGCTTATCCTGCAGCTAAGTAGGTTTCCGTCCATCGAACAACATGCTCTTTGATGCAGTCAAAAGTCGACAGATACCCTTCTCATGTTAACTCCAACTGTGTATACATATTCACGGGAGAACAGAAAGAAGGGCACACCTCCGATTTTCTGAACATGTGCCGAAAAGCCTACGTCTCAAGGCAACAAACTCTTATAATAACGCTATTACTAGACATCTCCTCGATATGGGTCATGAGTTGGAAATCGCGAAATCCTTTGAAATTATCAATAGACAAAGGAGCCTGGATTCTCCTCTAGTTTGCCGAAGCAATTTCTATCAAACGCTTGAAACCAGATTTATGTGTTCAGAGTGAAGCAGTTATCAGTCTTTTCTTGTCCGTGCTGGTAACTGGATGTCTTTATTCTTTCTTTCATTTGATTACGCAATCTTTGTCTCTGATCTCACCCCCTCTTTTATAATTTGTAATTTTGCTTGTCTCTTGTTTCTATGATTTGAGTTACTCTGCACCTTACACGCATCTCTCGTCTTTATTACGCAACTCCTTCACCATTGTATGCATACATTTATTTTGTTTAAACTTCAACTGCCTGTGTAAAAACTGTATAAGCGCACTTATCTGAGCACTGTTCACTAATTTAAGGAACCTTCTGTCAACTGACATCATGAAAGAAAATTTTCAAGTATGTTAAAACCTTTCTGTACACAAACCTCATAATTTATTCAGACTGTAAGTAGATGAGCTGATGAGTAACCAACGAAATACTTGATGATGATGGTACCATATAATTGTGCACAAACCACTGCTGTTCTTCCTTTATTCAAATAATACCGTCTACACAAGTTCATAAGATACTTTAAACGGTTGACTAAAAGAAAAAGTCAGTCAATCCGATTTCTTGTATTTGGTTATTACAGGAAGAATATAACAATGCAAGACAAGAACTGTTTCACTCTTCTTTTCAAGTTAAAATTCTAAGACAATTAGAATACATTTAATGCCTAGTTGTGTTTTGTTTGCCTTAAACAAAACCGACAAGAAGGCTGCAGAAATACTCTCTCTCTCTCTCTCACACACACACACACACACACAAGGATACACACTGAACACATATCAGACAGCATACCTTCTATCTGTTAGCGGTTTACACTTCTTTCTACATATACAAAGAAGTCACACCAGTAAGTTAGTTAGTGAGTTGGTTAATAAAATTAATATTATATATATTATGTATATATATATATATATATTACTTAAGTAAATCCTGAAGAGTAGTCATATTTATTATTTTGTAAATTTTGAGGGGAAAATAATAAACAAACAAACAAACAAGACAGGGAAGTCAGTATAAACGAAAAAGAGTTCATTATCAAACAGATGAATTACATAAGAGAGGATCATTAAGCAAAAACTAACAATCAGGCAAACAGACAATAAAACAAGGATTATACACATAACACAAGACAGTGGAGTTCTTCTCACATTGGATACACTAGAAAACAAGTAATTGTACAATGTGTCAATTCACCTGTTCCTTACAGTTGAAAAGACCAAAAAAAATGAAGCAAGAGGGTGTGTGAAATGAATACAATAGATGATATTATTTAGAGATTATGAAATAATTTGACATAAGTATTATATAATAATAGCAATGAATATTAATAATAGAATATTAACTTAACTTTAAATACATATACAACATGAATATACTTTAAATTTATACACGCACACACACATACGTAACAATGTAAAACATCTTGTCTCCGTATGATGAAAGTGCATTTGCCATTTTCGTCAGGAGATAACAATGATAACCTTAAAAAAATGAAATAAAAACACTTACTACTTATTTTGATTTTCAGTAGTAGTAGTAAGAGTAGTGGTATTATTTATATCTTAGTAGTCTCAGTAACGATAACCGCATTTCGTCTACAAAGAAAGCAACACCCTGGAATAAAACCAATAATGAGAATAGGAATACGTCACTTGAACACTAAATGTTTCTCATAAAATGAAGGAGAGAGAAAACAAAGAGGAGGATTACTCGCATTCTTTTGCGAGGGGTGGGGGAAGTGGGATGAACAATGTGCAGGAGAGGCCGGGTGGAGGGAGTAAAAATGATACATGAAATGAAGGGATTTATGATCATCAGATCCAGGTATTATTATTATTATTAGTGGTAAGTAGCAGCATCCAGTTAGCTGAGGATGATACCTGTTGTAATGAAGTAGTAACCTATACAAAATGTTTCTTTTACTAAATAAATAAAAACGCGTCAAGTTTCAACAACAGCTGACTGACTGACTGTGTTGAGTCATTTGAAAGTACAATGTCAGTAGAAATAAACATATAAATAAATAAATAAATACAAGAAAGGTAAATACACATTAAAAGTTACATGTTCACACAAAGAAGTTACTCATTGGGGGGTAGGGGGGAAATACTCTACACTGCATTGTAAAAAGATGTCAGAGAGAGCAGTGCAATCGACTTTTCCCTTTTCACCCAAGGAAAGTCAAAAGCAACAAAAAAGTAAAATCACAGTAGCGTTATCCACAACAACAACAACAATGACAATAAAATAAATTTCAATAGAAATTAGGTATGTATATATGTGGGTGTATATATTAGTTATGCTTTTGTAGGAGTTAACCGACGACGTTTATTCGACCCAGCTTTAATCGATTTGATGACTATATTTGACTTTTTAGATATATTCTTATGAATCAATAATTGTGTTGGATCATAATCACCAAAATCTCCAGAAGAGGTGATAATTTTGTATTGTTCCGCTTTATCAGTAGTAATAGTAGTACTAGTAGTAGTAGTAGTAGTGGTAGGCACAGAGTTCCCGCCGTTAGGAATTATTTGATAGTTAGTTAATATTTCTGGTGTATTGACAGGATAAATTCCATTGACTTGTTCAACTTCAAGAGAATTGCTTTTATGCATAGAATGTTGATGTTCAATCGGCGGTTCACTGCTACCATCTCCACGATCAGAGATTTCAAGATGATGACAATCAGCATTACCATTGGTTAAGACTGGATGATGATGATTAATTGATGGATTTGTTGTCCAATCGGCGTTATCTACGAATTGCCATTGATTTAAGTTTGATGTGTTCTCTGACCAATCTAAACCATTAGAGACATTTTCATTGATAACAACACCATTATTCGTCTGTATGGGGAATTCCTTAGAAATGAGGAAAAGTTGTAAAAAGCACAGGATGAAAACTGCTAACAGTCTAGGTAACAAATAAACTAAGAAATATAGTAGTAATGTTAGAATATGTGTCACATTAACGTAGCCAATTAGATATGATGAGGAACATTTGCAGTTTAGGTGGATGGTATTGGTTCACTGCTCCTCCGCCCCGCCCCACCAAAGTGACCCGTTACGACCAAGGCTGGGTAGACTTCAGTCTTCTCCTCAAAATGCTCTCTCGTGTGAGCACACGTTCATAACCCCTGACGGATACGTCTTATTCGCTGCCTTCATGGGCTGGAGGAGGTGTCCCACATAAAAGTGAGAGGGTGAATACGAACGTCTAGCGCCTACAACAAAATCGGTGGACATTCTAGTCTACCTGAAGGAATTGGGAAACCTTGATTCCAAACCTATTGTGTACATGGGCTACATAATTCGAACGGCCCGAATAGCGTAGGAACTCGTTCAGGTCATCAGTTTTAGTGCGAAGGCAGCTGATCCACTGTCTTATGGATCAGATTTCATGTAAACCCTCAAGGTGGCCTTTTAAGGCGACCGCCAGGGTACTATCTCAGCCCTCTTAGTGTTCCCTAAGGTGGATGACTTAGTTGCGAAGCTTTCATTTTCTTCCGAGGCATCTTCATCAGCGCATACTTCAATTGAAGGTAAAATTAAAGCATGTGCTGAAGAAGTGGACACAACGGTCAACTCAAAGAATAGCGATCACGGAGTGAGAACGCAGCAGTGACCTGAGGCGTATATCATTCGTTGGATTACAGAACCTGTCGTTATTACAGCGCCAGTAAGAACGCTGTGCATTACACTGACGTGCAGATTTCATCTTGTTTTTAAGTATTGTTTGGACAATGGGTTGATAGTACTTTAGGGTTAATACAAGTATTAGATTTACGGCGTTTTATTATTGTCTGTATTTTTCTTGTAAACAGATATATGGAAAGAGAATATTTCCTTGTTCATATAGATGAAACTGTTTTGATAGCTGTGAAGCTCGAAAACCCCTCATCGTAATTGGGAAGTATTTTTGAGTTATGGTCTGGGGTAAACACATTTTATGTAGAATACACCTCAGGTTCTGTAATCTAACGAATAATATGCGTTCAAGGTTATTGAGGAGTTCGCAATGAATGATGCTATCCAATACAGTCCTACAGGAGGTCAACTGCGAGTCCGAATAGCTCAGTAGTAACGTCTCTGATCACACCAAAGGAGTGACGCGGGTTCGAATATCAGAAGGAACATGATTTCCTTCTAGGTTGCAGATACACCTTGTTGACTGGTGAGTGGCAACAGCACGAAATCTAGGTCCAAGGCTTCCTGCTGATTGCTTCTAATATCGTTATCCTTAAAGTTTGCCAACACAATAACGCCAATATGTAAGTAATTCAGGCGAGCAAATTAGACTAAACCACTCCGACAAGAATAGTTAAAATATAAAACTGGATTATACGCTCGAATTTTTATAAGTGAAAAAAACACTATAATCCGTGCTGCGTTGATTTTCATACAAAAATTCACGCAGTCCCATCCTATGTACAAAAGACATATTAAAACTAAACAAAGTAATGTGATAAAGTAATCAGAGAATAGTGAATTGAGGGTGATGTTCAACTTTCATCTTTATTGCAAAGCAAGGTAGCCGTTCACCAAATAAGAGATTGATAATAGATGGTTGGAGGCGATCGGCAGAAATCCCAGACTGACCTAGGTTTCGTCAGCTAGGTGCATCTTCAACCTTGAAGTAATTCATGTCCCTTCTAAGATTCCAGTCCACGTCAACTAGTGCTGAAGTCAGAGACATTACCACTGAACCGATTGCCTCAAATTACCTAATGTCAACAATTCAAAGTGTGCCGTGATCGCGAGCCACTAAGAATACTCGCCATATTGTAATTTTGATTAATGTTAGAATTTAGTCTCCATCAAAAACAAAGGACTAGACACACTATACACTAGTCATTGATTAGTGTCCAATCGAATGAGAGATAGTCTCACTATATTTCTTTAATATAGAAACTTAATATATTAGAAAAACATTCAGCGAATATTTACTATTTTCAGCGACATCATTCTCATTTAGTTCAATTTTAGATTTTCCTGTCGATTGATTGGACCAAAGTGCTCGGTCTCAGGTTGACATATCGGCTTCTCCTTGTGCAGATGCTTCGACGATGTCTGGGCATGTAACTAGAAGTCAGTTGGTGGATATTAACTAGCAGTGGGATCAAGGATAACGCGCATTTCGTCTTATTTGGGACTAGTCAGCTACTGGATGTACCTGCATTCCGCAGTGAGTGACGATGTTCCCACCCAAGCTCACACCCAGTACCCTAAAATTGAATTAAATAATTGATATGACCCGTCGCACAAGAGGTGGCTCTCATGGTCCAAGTGGTCTAGTGGATGACGCTTTGGCGTTTGAAACTATGGGCACTGGGTTCGAGCCTCGGTGGTAACATCATCATTCACTGCGGAATGCAAGGTACATCCAGTAGCTGACAAGTCCCAAGTGGGATGAAATGCGCATCCTGGATTCCACTGATATCATTCTCAAGCTGTACAGTCGCATTTTCAGAGCAACAGAAATGTTTCCAAAGATGTGTCATTGAATTTGTATGTTTTTGAACAATAATTACGCAATAGAGATAGCTAAAAAAATAAAGGGTGACTCTACGCTGATTACCACTTGTTTTATATAACTTCGAGTGTTCATGCAGAGACGAAAGATGTGAAGAACAGGAAAATGTGAAAAATTAAACAGAATAACTAGAGCATCCAAATTTTTGAAAAATTACAAACTGTTAAATAGCTGGACACAAAAGTTGTTTTGTTTTTTCGTAATCTTACTTTCTCACTTTTCTGAATAGGCAACTGAGGCTCAGGAGAAGAATTCTTCGATGAAGTTTGCTGTGATAATTGTTCTGAAGAACTTTGACCAGAGGAATCCACTAAACTTTCATCAATAGTATTAACTGATAGATAGGGAGTTCCGCATACAGATACAGTTGGACCTCCACCGTATATGCTAAATAACAGATTCCAAACTTCTGCTGATAAACATTCATAATTACCAAGTGGAGTAGACGAAAATGATGAAGAATGATTACGACAACGATAAATTGATGAATTACATGATAAGATATCTGAGTTATCAATAGGACCTGGAGGATCTGAAAAAAAAGGTGTACACCAAACAAAACAAGCGAAAACATTAATGAGAATGTAATATATTACAGGGGATAGAACTGATACGGATTATTAAGAAAATTACGTGACCAACATTGCCAATTGAAGTAACTGCGGGCAAAATCAGTAATTTCATTTTGCAAAGAAATATTTTTGTTTCGCAGAGACAGAATATACTTTTACTACAATGGGATATATGTATCAAATATCTTATGTAATCAATTCCGAACTAAGATTCTTTATTAAGGTTCTGCAAATAAAGTTTAATGTTGAACAAAGGCCGTGTGTATATGATAGATACATGTACGTGTGTAGCTATAGCATTTAACTTTCAATGAGTTGGCCCCTTGTCCGCATTCCACTCCACCAACTTCACAGGCTGGGTGAGCGCACACATTAAGAGTAGACTGACATGCATGAAAAACACCCGATCTGGTTAGCTAACATTTAACTTCATATCTCCGTTCAACTTTACGATATCGATCTTTCCCAAAAACGGTTATTGTAACATGGAACTTATTAGGATTAATAACCTGTTAATAGAGAACACAAAAGACTCGTGTGGCATGTCGCAAATTACGCCATCTCTAGCGTAGACGTGATATCTAGCTATCGATCAAAGGACGTGTATACTGCTCAACAGTTCCCTCCGTCCTCCCCTCAATGACTGTGAGCGAGACATAGCCACTGAAAGTGGAAGAAATGAAAAGCCTGGCTAGCTATCTTTCATCACAGGTGTCTGCTTTCTATCTCTCGTCTAAAGTGGTATAGTAAGGTGAGCAATATTGCGGTTACACTTCAGTCGAGTGCTGGGTAAGGAGGGGAAATCAATCGACGATGTTGTGAAGTCAAGTCGACTGAGATGTTTAGGATCTGTGTTACGTATACCTAGCCATCGATCGCCTTCCTCGATAATGGGCAATGTTAGCTGAAATAAGGTGGATCAGGTTAGTGTTAATCAAACAGGAACCAGATATCAGTCCATGAAATCCTAGACAGTTAGTTTGAGTCAGCTACGTAGGGAGGTTTATACTACGTGACTGCTTGGGGTCCTCGGGATGCCCAGGACTAATGGTGGAGACAATTGGTGATATGCTTGAAATTGTTCTCACTGGTTCTTTCGAATCTCTTTTCTTTCTTTTTTCTCTTTTTCGTCTCCCTTTGTGTCCTAAATGGAGTGTAGCAATTCGAATTGCTGCACTTCTGTGCAAAGCTCTATATTGAGACCACACCAGTGAATCACTCAGACAACAAACGAGTTTGCTATTTCATAAAAAACAAACGACATAAAAGAGTTGGAATAAAACTTTAGCCAAAACAATTACAGTACTCATGAGTAGTACAAATATCGAAATGAATTCAATATTCCATCTGGAATCAAGTGTCGCCATAGTATATATGTGCTTTCATATTAGCAAGAAATTATCCATATGACAAAGACAATATATATAGATAGGCCTATATACACTAAATATCTGAAAAGCACCCTAGTTAAACTTACCCCAAGCCTTCCCTTTGACAAACTGTAGCCATACATCCAACCATTTTTTACTAATAGCATAAGACGTGGTTGACGGGGATGTAGATGAGCAAACCTATAAAAAATATTTGTGAAATCACCATTTTAGTAGGTTAAATGAATTGTGCATAACTAATGACTTCATCATACAGCGTGGATATTATCATTAATGGATTTAGTCGCGACATCCTACAATTTTCAGACTACGTACAAAGTATCCAAGTCGACTTCAATTATAAGTAGCCTGTCTGAAACACCAGAAAATGTTTTTACTGCTGCACCTAACTGACTAGAGGTTCCTGACTACCACCGGACGGACACACCAACAAACGGATTAAAACAGAACCCTGCACAAAAAGTATAAATCCAAGTTGTCACAGATTACACAACATAAGAAAAAACTGAAGAACACGAATACAGCTGCACTTCAATAAAAGAATATAGCTTCGGCTAATTTAGGAGAAATTGAAGGAAAATCAATTAAAGCTAATGGTCACTTATGAAGGGAAGAAAGCATTCCAATCGAATACATAATATTCATTCGACAGCATATTATTGTTTTCTGAAGAACACGTTTGATAGCAGCCGCTTCTGCAAATTGGAGGAGAGTTAAGCTATACTGTCTATTAATAATCTTGAAGGATTTCACATTGTCCACCTCGTGAGCCGTACCAAAAAGATGTCTGACATTAGTAATATTCAAAGTATTTCTTCATTTGAAACGTGAAGCTTTTCGTACATGTTCAGATAATCTAAGATATGTCCTCCTTTCTGTTCTCCCAATGTAACTGCTACCGCAGACACATGTAAATTTATGTACACCATGAAGGTTAATATAGGAAGGGTATCTATCAACCTTTTATTGTACCGAAGGGTACGTTGATCGGTACCTACTTAGCTGTAGGATAGGTTCTATTTAGAGAGATATCCAATCCTCTGCTGATTATTCCTGGGGATATGATCACACCTATGGTTTGTATCACACTCAGGTTTACAGATCTTCGATACCTGCTGATGAATTTCATAGGATAATCGTTAAGAAATTTTTGTTCCAGTTTTCCAGTAAAGCAAATTCGTCTAGTTCTATAAAACAGAGTTTTGATCAATGCTCATTTATGGATAATTGGACTAAAACTAATGAAACTTAAGTATTGTCCATTCCACTTGGATTTTCAGTCAACGGATATTTGCAGACTTCCATTTCCCAAGCACTGTATAGCAATAACAAGAAAATGGAAATTCCCATCAATTTCATGTACCATAAGTGAAGTCACTACTTTCATGCGTGTGAATGAATAAGTTCAAGTAGTAGGTGAGTTGCATGACTTTCATTACCACAAATAATACGAAAGTATCATCAATATTATCCGACAACAGGAAGTTGTTTCATCGATCGCACCTTTCAGCTCTATTATACCAAGATTGAACATGAAGATGTCTGCCTAGTACGGGGCCTAGTGGACTGCCCATAGATACACCATCCGTATTGTCGAAACGGAATAGTACATTCATGATGCAGATTAGTAGTAGGTGTTTAAATTTCGGTGTTTGCAAAAAGGAAGTAGTTCGTAATGTTGGAAGATAATATCGACAACTTCATGAATTGAAATCCTAGTGAAAGGGAGGTTACATCAAATGGACACCATGAACTTATTGGAAACGTTCATGTTGTTTAGGCTTTCGACAAAGTCGAATGAGTCTTTCACTTTTTATGCAGAAATAATTGTTGACCAGTAGGCTTCAACATTTCTGTAAGCCAACGAGCAACTTTTTGCTTAGGTGAGTTCAGAATAAAAAGTACTGTCTAATGGGAACATCTTGCTTTGGTATTTTTGGCAGGCCATATATGTAAAGCATATGAGATCCTCAAAGTTTTAAGTTATTGTAAGTACTAAGAAGTTAATTGGTGGATGGTAACTAGCAGTGGAATCCACCAAGATGCGCATTTCGTCCTATCTGGGACTCGCCATTTGGATGTTCCTGCATTCCCCATATAGGACAAAATGCACATCCTGGTGGATTCCACTGCTAGTCACCATCCACCAATTAACTTCTAATTACATGCCTAGACATCGTCGAAGCATCTGCACAAGAAGCCGACATGTCAACCTGAGACTGAGCACTTCGGTCCAATCAATCGATGGGAAAATCTAAAATTGAATTAAGTATTGTAAGTACTGTTGTTAATCCATTTCCTTTTAAGGAGCTCTCTCAATAAATTCGTGATGCATTTCTCAGTTGCATCAATTCTGTCTTTATTTGAATTTTCCAATTTAAACCTCAGCAGGTCGTTGAGAATGGATTTCATCTTAGTAATATAGTCTACCTTGTCGTCAATCAACGCCATCTCTGAGATCTTTATCAAGTCTCAATATCACGATTTCATCATTATTTTTGAGAACTTTATGGTGTTCTTCAGTTAGGAATTCGAAATGTGCAATTTATGAAATTAGATATTTACTAAACACTTTCCCTTCTATACACATGAAATCATTTACAGACAAAAGAATAACGAGTTCGCGTGTGTGGGGGTGTTTTTTTGTTTCAACTACACTTGTTTCAATGAAATTGATACTTTCATCAAAACAATTTGTGTTTAACAAGCGCATGATCATGACGATCTTAGCGAGAGAGAAAATGTCATTTACTGACAGAAAGAAAAAAAAGATTCATGTGTAGGAGAGCACTAGTTATTAGCACGCTACTTGAAATTAACTTCTGTTGTTTTTATACGAGATATAATTTCAAACGTATTTAATAAATTTGATTTTCTCTATATAGCTGATGAATTATTACTCTCTATCACTACTATTTTTTCTTCCTCACATTTCTGCTTACTGTCGTTCGTCTGAATCTCTTCTGTCTCCCTTTGTGTGCTACATGGAGTGTGACAACTCGAACTGCTACACTTCAGCGCAGAGTTCTATGTTGGAACCAGTCAGTTAATTGCATATAGAAAATGTTTAGTAGATATACGATGAATAGAACTATTATATAGAGATGTCACTCGTTAAGCATTGGAGTACTAGACAGCTGTTTCATCCTAGTCCGGGACACATCGGCAGTACGCATCCACCACCAGGGTTCGAACCCAGGACCTTCCAGTTACAATTATTATTATTATTATTGATTCCTTCACGTTCCCAGTGGAACATAAGGCTTCAAGCTAAAGGCTTGAAGTCTCTGTAGCAGTTGTGTTTATTTTTACGGGATGAGATGCTACTCATGTCACTTCTCTTACAGCATTATTTCTGACTTAGCGAGGGAAAGGAGTGCGTTGGCCGTGGATCGAACTCCAGACCATGTGCATGGTCGTACAGAGTGATAACCGCTGTGCCACTGACGCTCCAGTTACAAGGCGAGCTCGTATACCATTCAACCCCTGGGACCCGATTCAATGGCCAGCCCATGAAGTCCAACTTCTACCAATTCGTGATTTACCGCGTCCTAACAAGATTTCCCCCAAAATTCGTGTTCTATGTATATAATTAAAAGGCGTCAAAAAAATTTGAACAATTCATTCAATCAAGTGTATATAGTTGTCAACCAGAACCCTTTTAACCAACTGGTCTTGTGTATTTCCTTACAATAACATCAACATCAACAACAAGATAATGTGAGAAAGAAAAAAAATATTTTGATATAGCTATTTAGCTGACTCACCCTCATCACTTCTGAAAGTTCATATTTCTGCCTTTTGGTTATAGCATCACAACAGTCAGTACAAGGAATCAATTCTCGAATAATTTCATGACCTCCAAACCTTATTTTTAAAAGAAAGAAATATATAATAATAAGAAGAAGAATTAACTTTTGCTATACCATAAAATCGATCCTTACTTATCCACAGTTCATTGAGATTGACTAAGACAAAACCATATTTATTAACATATGGAAATATATTATAATCACACAAGATGAATCGATTCAATTTCTTAAGAGAATGAGCAAAAGGATGCTGTGAAAAAGCCTGAAGTATAACAAAAATGTATTGATTATGTAAGGTGAAAAGAATTACTACATTTTTAAACGTTACATCAATGAGAAAAGGAGTATCAAATACCAACTGTGTACTGCACTGGACAATGCGTATTGTAACGATGTAGAAAGAGAACATCACATCAACAAAATAATAAAAAAGACTGTTTGTAAGTAAAGATTTCAGATAGATAGACATTCAGTTAGGGAGTTAGTTAGTTAGTCAGCAAGGGAACTGCTAATAACAAACAGATATATACATCAATCTGAGTTGGAAAATCTCAGAGACAGGAATGAGACCCAGTAGATAAATGGTATTGTATTGTATTGAATTCAAAAATTCGCGAAATAGTGAGGGTGTGTACCGCCAAAATCACAAACTAAGACAAAATAGCTGTCTAGTGATTTCCCACATCAAATTAGTGCTAAAACATACCTCGGTAGAAGACATTTTTAATCCAAATAAAAAGTGACTCAATAAACAGACAAATATTCAAATTATAAGCTTTTGTAGGGATCTGAAATAACTTCAACATAAATTTCATCACAAGCCAGCATCAGTTAAACAGATCATTGAAAACTAGGGAGCACTGGACAGTTGTTTGTTTCTAAACGCAAGGAACTGATCTTGACGCTGTTCTGTACAGCTGTCCGAAACTTTCATCAGAGACTCATAGTCACAGAACGCCCCAGAGACAGTAGAAAAACTATTATTCTTCGATAATCCTACAAACGGTTCTATTGAACAATAGTAACACTGGAGACTTAAAATTACCTCAAAAAAGCCGTTAAGGCAGACGATATGAGTTTCCAAACATAAAACAAGTGCTGTGGAACAAAATTAGTTAGCCAAAGTTCAACTGTATGAGGTACCTGAGAATCAAGTAGTATATTCTCAACAAGGTGGGGTCAAAAACCCTATATCCACAAGAATCACACACTAACGCTTCCTGTGAATATTCCAAGATAATTCTTTTTTATTATAGCTTGAATCCACACCGTATTTTTGGTACAAGTATGGAATTTTCAGCACGTGATATCGGTAGCCCAATTTTGCAGGCCAACCATTGATATCGGCTGTGCGTCGACAGGGGATCGAACCCCGGACCATGTGCATGGTTGGCGGGAGTCCTAACCGCTGTGCCACCGACGCACAAATATATATATATATATGTTATGTCCACCTTTTAAATCCCTATCTGCATTATTAGATTTGGTTACTGTTTTTATTTTTATGTGTCCAAACCTCCTACCCATTTCGTTAACACTACATCCTTACCCCGTAATTATACAAACTGACTAGTTTTCTAGTAATTATAATCCTATTTTTCTTTTCTACCCGATCTTCCTGATTACTATACATCGGAATTTTTAATTTGACCTTTGGCCTGAAATATTTCTAGAATAGTGCCACTACCTATCTATCTTCTGTTTATTACATTGAGTAATTTTAATAATCTGACCACCTCTGACCGGAAATAATTCTGGAACTTTCTCACATATATTTAATATAAATACACGAATGTACAGCCTATTTGATGACTTCGTCGAAAAGAAAATCGAATTCCATTGAAGCATTTCTTGATAATTAACTGTTCGATATCATAACGAGTCAAAATATATAATAGCTTTATTCTGAACAGTGTTTATATAATGTAACCAATCTTCGGCGGGAATTACTGCATATTAGTTTCTCTTTGTCCAGGATCTTCAAGTAAAGTGTTAATTCATAGTAGGTAGTGGGACAAATTTCTGCCTTCTCACCTTAAGCAAAAACCAATCCGCCTATATGATATTTCTTCCTTGCCTCCCTCCTTCGAGAAATGTACAGTATTTAGTTGAAAGCCAATTAAGAAAGGTGCAGGAGTACATTTTTTAACCCAAGAACATATTCCTAGCTGAATAATAATTGAAGACTGTGGGTATTTAGTTTCATTTCTCAGACATTGGGAGTTTTTAATAAGAATCTAAGGTAAAGGTATCTCATTTATTGGAATGCGTTGCCATACAAGATTTTGCTTTTTCCAAAGTTTAGTAGAAACTTTGCGAATCAGCAGGTTGTAGACAGTTTAAATACTCGCGGGAGTAAAAAACACCATTAGAGGTTAAAAGAAACTGACCATGAGAGATTATATGCAATGTGATGACGGAGTATTTTGATAGCTAAGGTTTTAAACAGACCCTCGATCAACAATACACCTACCTGTGTAACTTATCATTAGTGGTTAATTAATTAATGATGTGTGGAGATGGAAACTTTGAGATTCAAGGGAAAAAACAACAAATTAAATAGCAGTCGGGTCCAATTTAAAGTCAATTATAATCCAGGATAATCAATCTTGAATTGTCTGTGTGAAAAGAAACTAAACACAGAGAACTTATAACTATTCAGGGCATGACTGCCTATAGCAGCACATTGAGGTAAACTTTTCCATGTAAGGCTAAGAGATCGTTCTTATTTGGAAACATCTGTAGATAAAAAATACCATGATAACAATCCAAACAATTAACTACACAGAGTGTTACATTAACACCATCATTCGAGCTTAGAAACCCATACAAGTACAAAAGAACAACAAGAGCATGATAAGTAAGGCTGTGGCGTGTACTACTGAGGAGACTTATCAGTAGTATGTTTGAAGAGATGTTCATCGACATAAAAAACATCAAATGGCAGAAAGATAGATTTGATGTCAAAGAAAGCAAATGATATGAAAGAAGGCCAGAAGCAGCACAACACGGAGTATTTGTGCAAATGGTGGTTTGTAGATAAGCTATACATAATTTCGTTATATAGAGATACCAAATTCGTCTTCTATCGTTACAAGGCAACGGAACAACTTACACTACACTTCACAACGTAAACATGAACACAATTCAAACACAATAGTATTACATGAAAGCATTGTACACAACTTAAGGCAAAAATAATTCTACTTACATATTATGAAGATTAGACCAAATATTTTCTGGGATAGATAAAGTCAATGCATTGCGTAATTCCCATAGCTCTGGTCGAAAATAACCATGTTCACATAGGAATTCTGAAGTCATAGGACCTGGTTCAGCCCATGTCCAAAATCGAATAATCCAAGGTTTACTTACATAGCACATTTTACCAGCTGGAGTAAGCTATTTTAAAAAGAATGGAAACACAAAACTAAGGTGAATATTACACGAATTTTACTATCAAACAGTTTAGTTTTAAGATGAAAATTGAAAAACCATCGTTAATCGGTAAAAGCTGTATACACGTATGAAGCAGATTTGAATATTTAGTACATAATTAAGTCTACTGCAAAGCATGTGTAAACCTTTTCTAATGAAACATTACTGTATTAAACTGCAAAGTACACTAAACATTTGGAAGCTTATCACACTTCACGACCGTCGACGATGAAGTCAGGGAAGTTCTACACCAGAAGTAATACACAAATACTGACTAACTGACTGATTTCAACGTAGAACTTTGCACAGATGAGCAGCAGCTCAAGTCGCCACACTCCATGTAGCACACAAAGCGAGAGAAGAAAGTAAAAAGAAATGCAAAATAGAGACAGTAGACAGGGATATGAGACAAAAGGAATAGTAATATCAGAGCACAATATAGTTTTATTGGAAATTATAAGTCACAAGGACAGGATGCATCTGCGCCAGCCATTGAAAACGATTGTCTTCAGTCATTGGTGTTTACTGTCCCGAGAACCCCAACCAGTCAGGAAGTCTACACCCACCCTATGTGGGTGGCTGGCTTAAACTAACTGTTGTGGATTTCATTGACTGATGAAGCAATGTTTTGGTTTGACGACCACTGAATCATTTCCATCCTGATCCATCCTATGTCAGCTAACATTGACCGTCGAGGAAGGCGATCGATGGCTAAGCATACGTAACACATGTCCTAACTATCTCAATCAATGTAACTTCACAGCCTCGTCTATTGATTTCTCATCCTTACCTAGCACTCGATGTGTATCTGATACACAGATACACATCTACGTAAGCTTAAGTTTCGACTAACAGTTCCCTAAAATTTCAACACTACATGGATGGAAAGTGGAAAAAGTGTTATGCATTTGGCACTATCACATATCCACAAACAAAACTGTTGACATACAAATAAAATTAGATGACTTTTGGTAAACCGATGTTCTTCATTAACATGTTTGTTTTTTAAATAGAAGAAGAAAAGATCAAAGTAAATTCTGGTTGAAAATTTATTTTTCAAAAATTTTTACGTTGTGAACAAGAACGAGTCAGAAAAGCAGTAAACTATGGGAGATATATCAAAGTGAAAAACAAAACGTAAATCAGAGATTATGCAACTGATTGTTTTCAACATAGAACTTTGCACAGAAGTGGAGCAATTCAAGCTACCACACTCCTCCATGTAGCATACAAAGGTAAATTCAAAAGGGCTAGAATAAACAGAAATGTGAGGGAGAAAGAATAGTAACGATTTATATGAGAGATTCTAGAGAGTAAATACTCATCTGCGCCATTGAGAACAATTTTGAGGAGTATAAAACTTGGGCATTGTGGCAGAGTATAACTCCATTATACATAAGAATTTATTTTGATAAATCACATAGTGTTATACAGTAATATTAACTGATGACGTTTCGAGCACTCATGTATATGAATGAAGTAAAAAGTTGTGTGAGTGACTTGATATGATTTATGAGCAATAGTTTGTGCTCGAAACATCATCAGTGAATATTATTATATAACACTTTGTGATTTATCAAAATAAAATCTTATCCATAATGGAATTTTGAGATCATAACAAAAATGAAAGTTAAGTTAAACATTCCAAAGACTTAAAAGACACTATAACTAATTTATGTGAAACGCAGTATTTCTACTTATTCTGACAAACCAACTAACTGAACTATATGAGTGAGAAATACATTCATCTCAAGGAAGGAGCGTTAAGAGTTCAAGTTCTTCAGTTTCTGTCCTAGTGACAGCAATGAAGTTTCACCGTTAATAGAAAAAAATAGCTAGTAATCTATAGTGTAAGGAAATAAAACAACTTATTTCGTCAATTCTGACTTGTAATCACTTATGAATATTAAGTTTAATGACTGCAGGTGAAATAAGAATCTGGGCCACAGTGGGATTCCAGCTAGTGGCATCCGAAACACCATTACTAAAAGGACATTCCAGTACACATAAGAATGTGCAGGTAGTGACCTAGATCCACTTGAAAATTATACATATAAATTAATCGAAGCACAAAAATTATCTGGAGTTCTTCGAGTTTCATTGCTTGATCGTGAATATTTCATCACTATACTAGATGACTTTCCTTCAACCTCATAATGAAGCGCTGATGAAACGTGAGTAGATATAAAAAATTAAACAATCATTATGAGCCTCCGGTCTTCTCTACTACTTTATTATTACTATTATTGTTCTCTGGAGCGCCGAGTAGGATATAGGGCTTCAACAACATATCTCCATTTTGGTTGGAGGATTTCATCATGAGCTGACATCATTTAGAGAACCATTGGAAAACCTGGGGGTACTGGATAGCCGTTTCATCCTAGTTCTGGACTCTTCAACAGTACGTACCACTGGGTTTCGAACCCTGGAACTACTGTTTACAAGGCGAGCTCGTAGTCCATTAAACCACTGGGAGCCCATTCAGTGGCTTACGAGCTCGCTAGCCTTGTAACCAGAAGTTCCTGGGGTTTGAGCCCCGGTGGTACGTACCGCTGGAGAGTCCCGAACTAAGACGAAACGGCTATCCAGTACTCCCAGGTTTTCCAATGGTTCTCTAAATGATGTCAGCTCATGATGAAATCCTCCAACCAATCAAACAGAAATCCCTACAAAACCAAAACTTGAAAACATCTCCATTTTGTCCTGTTCTCTGTAATCCTCTTTAGGTGACTCCGCGATTGCCCATAATCTCTCATCTCCTCACATGGTCTCCTCCACCTCACCTTCCGAGCCACACCCAACTCGTCGTTTCCCTTTCGGGTCTCATTCTAGCTATGGTCTAGTGCACGATGTTACCTTACGGTCCCATCGGTGTGTATGAGAACCATCTCCATTTTCTTCGGGATATTTGTTGAGCAGAAGGTCCTTGATTGGTTCTTTGCCAGAGTTTTTTGTTGCTAATTCTTTCTAGTTGATCACCTGATCTTCAACATGGAGTCAGAGAAGGCAGCTGTTGATGAAAATCTGCAGCTGGCTGTTGGAAATGCTTTTCGTGACGCGTGGGCCAAGTCCCTGAACTATATAGAACTGACTTAACATTGGCATTGAAAATCCGAATTTTGTTTTTTATGCTGAGTGCATCAAATTTTCTTCTCTACTACTACTATGAACTGAAATAAGCATTGCCTTCGAATTAATCATATCAAATTCGCCGTGCTTTGAACAGTTCGAAAAGGAAAATGTCTCAATAATGCAGTATAACAGACGACATATCTACTTTTACTCCATACTACGGTTAGTATTTATTTTGTAAAGTATTACATAATAATACGATTGTATTTGATAACATACACAATGATATAGTATTATTTACTGATGAAATTTCGAGCTCATAATCACATCACGCTGAAAATATTCTTCTTACAAACGGTGATTCAAGTTGACATACATGTATACCTACTTGGTAGATTTATGACTCGTCTTAAGCAAATGACAACTAACTAGTGGATTTAGCCCCAGTAAAGATCACTCTTTTTGTGGTGTCCGGAACGCCCTTGTCAGACTGTGAAAACCCGAGCCAGGCAGTATAATTTCAGTGGCAGGCCTTAGTCATATCCGAAGCAGTTCGTTGAGGTGAACAGCCCAATATAACTGAACAATGTAGGTAGAGGAAGTCGGTAAATCGGATACGTAACTTTGGAAGAAGGATTCGTTTTGGAGGCCGAGTCAGATAGGCTGAGATCAGATATGTGTCGGATCAGTTGTTCATTTGTGCGGTTCGATGCGCATTGTTAAGGAGTTAACGTACTCTAACCCTGATCGATTGTGGGCAGTTTCAGATGTTAGTGTTGCCGAGCTATCAACGTACGTGAATTTGCTTTGAGTTGCATAAAGCGGGTATGTTTCCAATGTTCGGTACATAGCAGGGGAATCTGATTGTCTAATTAAAGCAAAGCGTTGCGTTGAGATGTCCTCAGACCAAAACTTAATGCAACTAGTTTAAACTAGGCACTCAGATAGTATAATAAACCATTATACACTAAATGTGGCTCACAGTCTAATAAATAACACTGCTTAGTAATTTATTCGATCACTGTATAATTCACTTTCTGCCATTGAATATACCAAGTGAGGATACAAAAGACTCGCTCGTACTTTAACAGATTCTGCTGCTTACATTGAATGCGACTGCATACTACTACAAGTGTGAAATGTACGATAGACTATTGTGCCCTATTTTATGATTATGTAACAATTCTATCGAAAAGATATGTTCAAAAACACTAAAAAAAATACTTAACTAGTGCTGTCTTAATTGTACTACCTCACACTTAGCAAAATCATCACAAGAGCTCTACACAAGTTGGCCAAAATATCTTAGGTAACACAGAAAAATCGATTGATACTATTATAAACCTAAAGAAGGTGTGTACTGCTCAGCAGTCCACTCCGTCCTCCTTTATGATTGTGAGATGTAGCCACTGCAGGTGGAAGACATGAAAAGACTAACTGTCTTTGATCATACGTGCCTGCTTTCTATCTCCCATGTTAAGTGGTATAATAAGGTGAGCAATATTGAGGTTAGGCTTCAGTCGAGTGCTTGGTAAGGATGAGAAATCAATAGACGAGGCTGTGAAGCTACATCAACTGAGATGGTTAGGACATGTGTTACGTATGCTTAGCCACCGCCTTTCTTGGGATCAGGTTGAAAAAGAGTTAATGGTGGTCGAATCAAAACATGGCACCAATTAATGAAATCCACAACAGTTAGTTTAAGCCAGCCAGCCAGCCACTAATATAGTATTTAAAATCCTACGCTCAATAATACTGCGTGGACTAAGTGGTGCTCGCGAGGCACAAACACGAGAAAACCAGGCAGGTTTTAGGCCAGGAAGAGGGTGTATTGATCATATCTTCACCCTTCGACAGATTCTAGAACATAAGCATTCCTACCGGCGTCCGACAATCACTGTATTTCTTGACCTAAAGGCGGCATTCGATTCTGTCGACCGAGAGGTTCTCTGGCGATACTTGGCTGTAAAGGGAATGCCGAGAAAATACATTGCACTGATCAAGGCACTCTACTCGTACTCATGCAGCCAGGTGAGGGCTTACGGCGAGTTGTCATCTGAAGTGGTGACGACTAGTGGTGTCCGTCAAGGAGGCTCATTATCCCCATTCCTATTCAACTTCATCATAGACGTACTAATGGACTTAACCCTAACACACTTCAGCGACTCAGGGATTGACTTGCTACCAGGGAATAATCTCGTCGACTTAGAATATGTGGACGATATAGTCCTTCTAGGTGAGGACGCTGACAAAATGCAGAGTCTACTGAACACCTTGAGCAACAATCTTCGTATGTTTGGCATGCGATTCGCCCCTGTAAAATGTAAGATGATGCTGCAGGATTGGACTACACCGACCCCTAGATTAGAAATAGGAAGTGAAGTGGTAGAACACGTTGACCGCTTCACTTACTTGGGAAGTACCAACAGCCTCAACGGGTTGATCTCTGACGAAATCTCAGCACGAATACAGAGGGCTAGTTTCGCATATGCCAGTTTACGCCGTCTCTGGCGTAGACGTGATATCCGACTATCGACTAAAGGGCGTGTGTACTGCTCAACAGTCCGCTCCGTCCTCCTTTATGGCTGTGAGACCTGGCCATTGAGAGCAGAAGACATGAAAAGATTAGCTGTGTTCGATCATAGGTGTCTGCGTTCTATCTACCGCGTGAAGTGGTATAATAAGGTGAGCAATATTGAGGTTAGGCGTCGAGTGCTAGGTAAGGAGGGAAAATCAGTCGACGAGACTGTGAAATTACATCGACTGAGGTGGTTAAGACATGTGTTACGTATGCCTAGTCATCGCCTTCCTCGACGGGCAATGTTAGCTGATATAGGGCCAGGCTGGAAAAGAGCTAGCGGCGGTCAAACGAAAACATGGCACCAGTCAATGAAATCCACAACAGTTAGTCTAAGCCACGTAAGAAGATGTAGACTTCCTGACTGGTTGGGGTCCTCGGACGGTAAAAACCAATGGTCGGAAACGATTGGTGACATGGCTCAAAATCGTTCTCAGTGGCGCAGATGCATCCACTCCTTGTGACTTATGATTTCCAACTAAACTGTTTTGTTCTTCGATATTACTACTCCTTTTGTCTTACATCCCCATCTACTGTCTCTATTTTTCATTTCTTCTACTTTCTTCTCTCGCTTTATGTGCTACATGCAGTGTGGCGACTTGAGCTGCTGCACATCTGTGCAAAGTTCTACGTTGAAACTAGTCAGTAAGTCAAAACTAAAGTTTCTGAGGTTCCCGGAGGGGGTCAGGTGTTACTCGTGTCTACTTCAATATGCAATAATAATGGGACCAGGTTATGAAGAGGATCGATACCAACACAAATTAACATAAGCATAAGAAAACTTCTGAAGGACAACAGTCACAGTCGAGATAACAAGAGACAGTTATATGATTGATGAAAGGCTTCAAAACTTGACTTCACATTGAAGTAAGAAAGTCTAATCTACTGACTAGAAGGACAATGGAAGTTTCTCAATTAAACTACCCAGTTTACAAAGCACAACCACAACCAAGAAGCGGGATTAGTTCTGAAGAGATTACACAGTGAGTAGATTCAAACATGATATAAATCCTTGAGTTAATTGACTATAGGTGATCTGAGTATTGTAAAGAAATGCAGATATTCATCCAATATGACTACCGAAACCGTTTACAAACAGTTTGAATGATGTGCCTCAATCAAGATTGGGATCGATGGTATCTTAACTGTAATACCGGCTTTGACTTAGTTTTGTTTTGTTTGAGTGTACAACCACCTTTAATTTCGACTTGATTCTAGTGTCTTTTACTTGATGTACGATATGCGGTATTTAGGACGAGGACACATTAATACCAGGCCCCATATGTTGGTGATAATGATTGGCTGATATGTCAAGAAAAAGTTGCATCATCACATGACGAGATGGAGTCTTACAACATGAAAACACATTTTTTTAAAATAATCATTATTTACACATACTTGCCACGATTGCCGAAGTGGTTCCAAGTGGGTATCACGTTTGCTGAAATAGAAAGACAGAGGAGAAACAAGAATCACTTCAATGAATGATAACTGTGGATACATCAAGGAATGAAAAGTTCCTATTAATATTCATTTCAGAATATGTACACATACAGTGGGTGTATTCATTATTCATCAAAGTGGTGAATATGAATATGATTAATTTATGAAGATACTACATCAGTGAAGCAAGATATATTGGGAACTAGAGACAGACCTCCTGAAGAGGTTAAACCAAAGAGTAAGGATATCACTTAGCACAAATTATGGCTGATACTAAAAAAATACATGAAGGCTTATGGGAAGAGGTGGAATAAATGAGAGGTCACAATGCACTCCATTATGAATAAGATTTTATTCTGATAAAATCACACAGTTTTGTGCAGTAATATTAAGTGATGACCATGTTTCGAGCAAAAATTATTGCTTATAATCATATCAAGGTACCGACATAACTACTTTCTTGGTTCATTTATGTACATGAGTAAAAATTGGTTAGACATTTGAATAAAATCAATATAAGATAAAGTGCATTCGGAATACAATAAGATGGGAAATAAGATGTTTTTTACAGTAAAAATAAGTAACTTGTTAGAATGTTAGAATGTATGTGAATTGAAATAGAATTTTAAGATTACTTATTATCCTCCTCTGATTTGACTGGTGATAATATCTTCCATATCTCTGGTATTTGCGTTGAGTCAGTGCTATTGCATGTGTTGGGTGTAGACTCGATGAACCGGAATTTACTAATCAATCTTTTTCTCCACCTACTTATATTACTTTTTAGAATTTTAACCCTCTCCCACTCCATTGTGTGACTATGTGTTAATGCATGCAGCGCTATTGCTGAGATTTTTTTGAATTGTTTATCTTCGTGGGATCAAACATTCTAACCTTAGCTAAATTCTTATGTTCTAACAGGCGATCGCACTGCTCCTGATCTACTAGTTTGACCTATGTAGTTGACCTCACTCACAGTCATTGCAAGGTATTTTTTAAAGTATATTATTTTGTTTCATTGGATCCCCCGGGTTCTTTAGCCTACAGAGCTTGTCCCTGAGTGAGTTTTTAGGTTTAAATGACACACTAATTCCTAGTTTATTGAGAATCCTACGTAGGGTCTCAGATGTCCCCTCCTTATATGGTAAAACTGCAGATGCCTTATATTCTTCTTATTTATGCTGTCATTATTAGTTTCACCAATATTTTTATTCCGCTTTTGACCTTCTTTGATATTCCTAATGGGACAAGAAAGTTGTGTGAGTGAGTACCTTGATATGATTATGAGCAATAATTTGTGCTCGAAACGTGGTCATCAGTAAATATTACTGTATAACACTGTGATTTTATCAGAATAAAATTTTATCCACAATAGAGTTATACTCTATCACAGTGCCCGAGTTTTATCCTTATATCAATAAGTCACAAAGCATTTTTATATTCCCAGTTAAACAAAAACATTTACACATACAGCATTGATTTAGCACTACGTTTAGAAGAGGTCTAAGGGCTCTGAAGTCTTATTCCACTGGCAACCAACACTGTGAGTAAAATTAGTTTGTTTCAAGTTTGATTACGGATTGATGTCAGTCAGAGAATCATAGTGAACCAGGGAATAGTGGACAATTGTTTCGTCCTAGCCTGGGACTCTTCATCAGTACATACAGTACGCAGTCACGATCCCACCATGGATCGAAACAGTGACCTTCAAGCTACACGGTCAAACTCTTTTACCATTCAGCCACCTGGGCCAGAATACAATGGTCCATGAATAATTTCTGTCACTTCGCAATTTTTACCTCGACCATCATTCAATGTCATCGGTATTAATCCGTGACCATATATCAATCATTAACTTGGTGAATATTTGCTCAAATTACAAATAACTATCCAGTAGAAGGAAAGTTTCACAGCAGTAAAGATCAATTAAACTGTTGATGTTTTATTTTTTTCGGGTGGGGCGGCGGGGGGAGGGTGATTTTTAAGATTTTTTCAAGATAAAAGAAAAACCAATCTATTCTCACCGATAAAATAAAATATAAGCTGAACTTTTCAATGTTTCCACTTGTTCAACATCTAATTTTCGAACATGTTCATCGTTGAATTCATACCAACTTTCGGTAGATGAATTATATGCACATGTTGTATAATGGCCACCACCACAACCACCAAAATGACATATCACACCGATTAAATCATAAGTTGTAATCTAAGGACGAAAGAAGGAAAAAATAATAATAAGTTATTTATTTTTGCTTAAAAAATAAAAGAATTTTAAAATGTAAAAAGTGTAGAACTATTCATATTTTAAGTGTGTGTGTGTTGTGTATATGTTCATGTACTTATCGGTACACCAAGTGCATTAAACGACAGAAATGAAGTTCAGTTGATAGGATGAAGTATTACTGAAACCTGTAGTGCACTAGTTGAAAGTCGATTGCTTGCAATATTTAGTCAAAACTTCACTATAGACAAAAACGTAAGATGCAAAGTAGGAATTCACCCGTAATATGATATATATATATATTTTTGAAATGAGCTTTTAGAATTCTTCACGAGTTTATCAGTTATCTCTCTTCGGAACTTTAAACTTGATTGGTTGTTTTTGTGTGTTTTCTTATCCTCTAGTCTACTTGTATGAGTATTTGATTATTTCCTTGACCTGAAGTTTGACCTTTTATTCATACGATTTCCTTCTTATGGATTGGTAAATCTTGTCCATGTGTCAATGTTTCTATTGGCTAACGATTCATACTTGAATGAATGCCAAGCTTCTAGAAATTCTCTGGCACTTATGATGTCTCCTCTGTCTAAGATTCGAACATTATCCCAATTGAATTGGTTGGTGTCCATGGTTATCTATATGCAGTGATATGAGCGGGTTGGGTATCGTGTCTTTTGATGGTCAGTTCATGTTCATGGATGCGAAGACGAAGAGTGAGGGTTCACTTTGATCAACGTAATAATTTTCACAGTCATTGCAGTTTAACTTGTTGGTTTTGCCTTCTTTCAACCGCTGAGTCCTATGGTTAACATGGAGCCGAATGAAGTGATTTTAGTGGTTTTCGGGCGACATTAATTCCGAAAGGTTTGAATAATCATGTAGTGATTTCGGAGATGTTCTGAATATATGGTAGGACAATTTTCTTTGTGTTTTCATTGGGGGCCTTTGATTCGGTTGGTTAGCTTGGGGGTAGATGCCTTTTGATGAAGTTTCGTGGATATCCATTTTTTGGAAGACATCGATAAAATGTTTTGTCTTGAATCTTCCTCGAGGTAGGAATGCTGCAATATGTCCTGGTTCGCTTGAATCATGTTCGTATGCAACTCTTTTTGTGTGCTGTAGGATTTTTGCTGTTTTGGTGAAGTATTCGATCCGTGTGAATTGATTTTTTGTATACTTGAGTTTTTAATTTTCCTGTAGTTGTTCGCTTGACTAAGACCTCCAAAACTGGAATTTTTACCACCGGATTCCTCTTCACTTGTGAATTTTATGTCGTTGAAGATGCTGTTTATTAAGCTGTTTTTTTTGGTTAAGTCATTTCTTCTGATTATCACGAATGTGTCATCCACGGAACGTATTCAGATTTTAGCCTTAATCTTTGGTAGGACTATGTTTTCAAGTCTTTGCATAACACCTTCTGGAATCAGTCCTCATATGGGCGATCCCACAGGTGTCCATTTAATTTATTCATATATTTAGCCGTTGAATTGAAAATATAACTGATAAACTCGTGGAGAATTCTAAAAGCTTACTTCAAATTAAAGTATGCGCTGAAGATGTTGTCCAGGAAGACAATGAATGCTCCACAAATACAAACCATTCAGCTCAGAGGACACAACTACACCAAAATCATCCACCTGAGCTACAAATCTCCTCTATGTTCGGCAACATTCTACAGACAGTCACCAGACAATTTTTGTACACAAGGAAGTGAGCTCTGGAGCACCTGAAGTAGACACTCATCAACAACCATCGTTGTTTATTATAAGAAGTGGTGAAGATGACAATCACATTACCTTAACTATTTTGACCATTGATTACAGCTTTTTTCCCTTGTAAACATCGCGAGACACTTTTCAAGCCATTTTAAGTAAACAAGTTATTAACTTTAACTTTAAAAAACAACATTATTCACGAGATGTTAAAAGACCATCCACCAAGCTGTGATAATTTAACCCAATGAGAGATAGATAGTGTATGTGTGTTGTCTGAAATGAAATGCATCCGAAATCATAGGAAGACAAAAAAGGAAAATAATCTACGGGAAAAAACGATATCATCTGAAAGGACGATGACGAGAAAAACTATTTAGTCTAGCCAGCATATTGTTTAAACAACTGGCACATCAAAACAACAACAAAGACGTTAATACTTTGGATCAGGGGATTTAAGGGCAGAAGACGTTGTAACGTAGAGAGATTGTTTGGAAAATCCACCCCCCTGAAAGATGGAATCACAATACTGATGCTTATTTGGACATTTCCACTAACTGATCGATTAATATATGTGCAAAACCTGGGCACTGTGGTAGTAAGTAATTCCATATTAGTTTGTTTATTAAATATATCACATATCACACAGTAATCAAACAGTACTATTTACTGGATGACGTTTCGAACAGAATTTATTGTTCATAATCATATCAATTATGTGTGTGATACATCTAATAAACAAACTAATATGGAATAACTGATCAATAATTGTCCATTTTTCTCCTAGACTGTATATCATTGCCCTGACATTTGTATACCGTATGTCAACCTGATCCTTACTATTTGTCTTTGTCACTATTTAATCTGTAATTCTAATGCTCCTCTCCATTGTTGTGCGGTGATATTGATAATGTGCTGTTTAACGATGTGATTTTGTTTGAGTGAATCAAGGTGATTCTGACCTTGAACTGTCAGCAGGAAGCGTTGGTGTGTGATTCTTGTGGATATGGAGTTTTTGAGAATATTGTCCTTGATTCTAAGTACTTGTTTTGTACTTAGAAACTGCTATAACGGAAATAAAAGCTTACATTGATTGTATAGCTGGCCTAACTGTACTGCAGAGAATCATAGACTTATCTAGGGATAATCGTCTTTTTTCTATCTTTGGAGTGTTTCGTGACTGCGCATGGTCTCAAGGACATTTTTTCAGCTATACAGTAGGATGCGGAGATCAGTTTCCAGAGCTTAGGCCACAACAAGCCAGTTTTGGTCGTAACAGTAACTTGGTGCTCGGAAGACATGGTAGAGAAAGAATTAAATTTATTACATGAAACCCTACTAGAGAATGGGTATCCACCAAGATTTATCGACAAAAACATGAAGGAGAAGCCTCCGGTGTCAAACACCGCAACGGCTTCTAAGAAGACTCTCTTCATGAACCTAGAATTCAAAGGTGATATCACAGCGGAAATTCTCAGAAACCGCCTTTCTAAACGTCTGAAGGAGACATTTCCAACAGCCAATCTACGTATCACATTTTCCTGCAGACAGTTAATCCAGTCTAACGCTAAGGACAAGATACCACTTTTGGCCACTTCAATGTGTATTTATCAATTTACTTGCTCGTGTGGAGCAAAGTATATCGGGCCGTACGCAACGTCAAGTCCACAAACGTATTCTGGAACACTGCCCAACTTGGTTAGCCAGAAGAGAAAAGAAAAATAACAACAGCTGGATCCTCGAGCACCCCCACAATAATGCTTCACAGTGTTAAACAGAGTCCCTCAATATCGTACAAAAGGACTTCGGATACGCCATCTGTACATAGCTGAAGCATTAGCTATTCGAGATCTGAAACCGGACCTCTGCATCCAAAAGCGATACATACATTCTCTTGCCCTACCATGGCCAGAGTAAAGTTCTTACCACAAATTTGCTTCTTTCTTTTATTATGTGAGTTCACTATTATTTTTATTTTATTTTATTAACACTTTTATTATCATTATTATTCCCATCATCCACATTTTATTACCATTCTATTACTGTTTACAAATAACATTGCTTTTCACGCATATTTTATACAAAAACACTTTATAGACTTTCCACTAGTTTCTGTCCATTTTACACGAGCTTATTGATTATTCATTATCTCACACTTATTACGTCATGCCAACTTCTGTCTCCTTTCTGACTTACAATTAGTCATCCCTTCTTACACCTTACATTATGTAATACAATTTTCCAAGGACAAAATTTACCAGTATCTGATTGGTCTAAAGATTTCTTTGTAAATTATAATTACGATTGTACAGCTAGCTATATGACAATGCCACGAGTCAGGTGATCCACAACGGAAAACTCGGCGACGCATTCGAAATGAATACAGGAGTAAGACAACGCTACCAGCTTTGAAACGGTGAATGTGAACGTCTGGACTCGTGGGCGTGCTGGTTTATCTAGGGGAGCTTGGAAACCCTGATTCCAAACCACAATCCGAACGAATCGAATGGTATATGAACCTATTTCGAACGTCGCTAACCATGGGAACGCACCACTTGACTCTGTTCCACTGACTCGCAGATCCAGCTTCAAGTCAAAGGCTCGAGATTCTGGCCACTTAAGACAACCGCCTGCTTCGGTCTGGGAGTTTAAGCAGTAACCCAGCTTTCGCATAAACTATGGGACTTCACGTTGTGTTCCTTGGTGCCCTCATAATGTACCAAGTTATGTTTCAACAACAATAATAACATTTCTGCTATGCTTTATTTATTTTGTGTAAACATATCCATTAATCTACGGTGTACCAAAATTGCCCCCTTAGAAATAAACAAGAGAAAATATTTTTGTAATACACATCATCATCATCAAATCAAAAATACTCACCTTATCTTTACAATCACGATGAAGAAACGGTGATAGCTCTAAACTCTTCAATGGGAAATTTACTGGAGTGGATAATTTTGAAGAGTACATATGATTATTGCTAAACCTTTTCAAATGAAGAGTAAGTATCTCTGGTAAGGCTATAAGTCTAAACTGTTTCAAGCCATTACATCGCCTACAAGTAAATAAAACAAAATTTTTAAAAAATGAATAGTTAAACTACAGTCAACCCACCTATGATAAATCATCGATAACACACAAGACAACATAGTATAAACAGGAAAAGTAGTAGTATATGATGACGATGATGATAGCATAGAATTGCATGTAAATAAAACAAACCGTCAACTGTTTATAAAGTGATTGTAAACTGTAAGAAATTACTAATTATTTACAGTTTTAAACAAACGCACCAGGCCATTTTATGATGCCAATGACGATGACATGCTACTTTGATAAAACTTCGATTCATAATATAAGAATACAGAACTGCATGCATATCTCAGCAAAGTTCCCGTCTCAATTTAATACGGCTAAGAGAAGGTGACAATTGCAATACAGCTGTGGTGAGAGCTGGCTGCTAGCCAAATCGGTAGACAGCAATTTACGTCCCAAATACTGATCATGTGAAAACAAGAACAAAGACTAACTCGACAACCAATCACAGCAGACTTTGCGTAGGCGGATACAATTTGCAGATAGATAATCTGAACTTCAAGGAACGATCACAAAGAGATGAAAGATTACCGTTCAACGAGAAGCCACTAATCAGAAAACTATGTTTGTTCGCTTACAATAATCTATAATAATGTAAATTTTCTATAGTTTGGTTTGTAAGGGTTAGTTATGTTTTTACGAGTTGATCACGGATTGATATCAGTTAGAGAACCATTGAAAATCAGTAGTGAGTACTGGACAACTGTTTCATCCTAGTTTGGGAACCATCGGCAGTACGCACCCACTGGGATTCGAACCCAGGACCTTCCGGTTACAAGGCAAGCTCGTATACCATTCAGCCACTGGGACCCGATTCAATGGCTTATGAATTCTAACTTCTAGCCACCATTGTCGTTGGTGGGACATCCATCCACACACGTGACATCTAATTGGGTCCCACTACAAGGAAGAACTAAATGTGAGCACTACGAAGTAGCAAAAAGAACGATGAATAGGCGGAGAGTTAATGACTACCAGGAACTTTATAATTCCGGGAAATATTCTAACAGTTACCATCTAATATACAGATAATCCAAATATTCTACGTCACAACAGCAACAGGAGTGGTAGCTCATTGAATTCAACATCTGCCTTTCAATCAATGGGTTTCTAGTACAAATTCAACGCCCTCTAAATCAACCTAAATGACCAGGTTGTACTACTAGTTCTTAATTACAGCTAGTATATGAAGAATTTGCTAGGCTAGATGGATTGATTGTATTAAATCACCATTATCAAGACTATAAGCATCAAGAAATTAACGCTGCTACTAAGCTTAACCATATACTTGAAACCTGGACCGAATATCCCATGCATAAGTGCGCACAAAGGTTCAGCATTTCAAATGAAATTCACAATTTGCAACGTACACCCTTCGGCGGGGGGGAGTGAAATATTCAACAGAGTTTCCTTTAGAAATTAAACTATGCAGATAACAAAACGTGATTTGCTTGATACGATAAATGGTAATCAAGAAAGCAAGAATCGTTGTATAAGACGACATAGTACTGGTTGATTGATTGATTGATTGATTGACTGAGATGAGTAGTTGCACACCACTCAAATCAGCCATTAGTGCTTCACAGCTCTTTTGGGGCCAACATCATCAGTAGTATATCTGCTCTGACTCAACTGAGAGAGCCGAATGCAATCATGTTTGCACCAAACGAGTAAAGTGGCCGTCCAGTGTTTTTAAATCACCTCGATATGGCTGGCTAGCAAGAACTACTGGTTGATGATATGAGTGGTATTCAACTACTCACTTTAATCGATCAGTAGTATATAGTTCCATTCAGCATTTCAAACTGTAACAAACTGTAATGTGTGGAAAAAGAATCAGATGAAGAATAATGACGATTTAATGAATATTTAAAAAAAATCACAAGCAGTGAATACATTCACAACATGGAGAACGAATTTAAGTCATATGACCAATAGCCTCTAGGCATTAATTCTTAGCGTCTGAATTTTGTAATACGTAACGCCTATTGAACACTATCATCCTGCAAGTCAAACAAGATGAATGATTGTGATACTTACTATTCAGGCATCAGTGTGAGGAGACATAAAAACTGATGAGATTTATTCTCATCACAATTAGAAATAAACAATGGGTAAAACCAAAATATATATACGATACACCATCCAAAAAATGAGAGTCATTATGCAGCCGCTTGCCAACGAATCTTCATATGAGAAACATACTTTGGCGAGTTCTACTGATAAGATTTATCAGTAGTATATACATGAAGAGACGTTCTTCGGAACATAAACATCAATTAGCAGGGAGATAGATTTGATTTCAGAGAAGGCAAATGGTACAGCGTTGTGGAGAAACGTAAAAGGAACATAAAGAAACATAATATAAAGTTCAGAAGTACCACAACACGAAGATCTATGTAAATGGTGCGTTGAAGATAAGGTAAACATAATTTGGCTGTATATAAATACCAACTTCCAAATGAACATTCCTTTACCAAGTCTTAGTCCTCTACCGTTTCAATTGGTGTCTCTGCCTCCAGACAATCAAGATTCCATGGCTTGCTGCTTTCGAGGAAGGAGACATAAGGAGCTTCTTGTGGGACTTTGAAGACGTCGCTGAGTTGGTGGTCGCCATGGATCCGACGGTGAAGGCGGTCGTGCTGGGGACGCTGCTCCGAAGTCGAGTAAAGGTGGTGTATGACAGTGTCGTCTTCTACCGTTTTAATACGACAAGATGTTAGTCGAACGTTTTATGTACAAAGAACAAATGAGGAGTAGTTGTTATAATAGAGTGCAGTAAGTGTAAGCAGTTGAGTATAACCGCTTTCCTAAACGCACTTTTTTTCATTTTCAATTAGTAAACTGATCGTCGTAGGCTAGGATATGTCCAGCCTTTGATATATACATATGTATTACTCCTAATTAACTCTCCCAGCCTATGAGCAGACACAGTCTATGTCTTAGACCATAACCTTTAGTGAAAGGACCCAGCATAAAATAGTAAATCATCCTTTCTCACGCATATTACGCTTTAGTGTGTGATCAGTTCATCGTCTTTCGTCTCACCTTGGTCTGTGTCGGATCACCAACCAATCAGAATACACATATCCAGCCAATAAGATCAGTCCATTCCCACGGTTATGAGCCAACTGTATTGTGATACATTAAATATATGAATACGACGTGGTTTGTTTTCTAATAGATGTCCCATACAATCTCTTACAGTCACAGGCCAGCCTTTATCTTTCTGATATTTGCACGGCTCAGTGAAACGGAAGGTACAATGGACAAATAGACGTATTAGTGTATCAGCCGAGTTCCTTACTGTTATGGTAATTAATAGGCGCGGGTATAGCAAAGTAGCAACGGATTTATTCAATTCAGTTCAGTTAAAGCAATTAGTGAGTCAAAATATTAGCCGACTGAATAAATCACAAAGTAAACAAACAGTAATTTAAAAGACTGCTTACTGAACAAAGAACATTGCTGTCTGTCAATTCATCATTAGGGTCTACACTTATATATCACAGTAATAATCCAACAAATATTGTTATTAACAACATTAATGCTGCTCTAAATTACACTGAATCAGTAGTTTCGACAGATGATAACATTTCAGAAGCATCAGTAAGAGAAGAGAGAGAGAGGATATGCAACAATATAACACTAAATTGAATGTCAGATAAATTAAGGGAAGTAACACAGGCTCAACATGTCAGAGTGACAATAATGGCTGGACTTGTCTCTTTTGCACGCAGATCTCTAGTTGATTTATGCGAATCGCTGTTTGGTGAGCTTGGTATCTACAGGCTTCCTGTTAACGGATAGAAGACAATTCTTTTGTAGTCTCTTGACCATGTGTTTCGTGATGAATTCTTCAAGGCAGCGGTTTTATTAGATTTTAGAGTTTCTTTCTTATACAAACCTTTCACTGATCAGTGTACGTATATTGTCAACAATAGTATAAACAAAGAGACTGAAGTAAATGCTAGTGAGAATCAGGATTTCATCATGAACTGACATCGGTTAAAGGACCATTGGAAAACTACGACGGAGTACTGAACAGCTGTTTCATCCTAGTTTTGGACTCTTCATCAGCACACAATCACCACCAGGGTTTGAGCCCAGTACCTTCTGGTTACAAGTCGAACTCGTAGACCGTCAGGCCACTGGGACCCGATCCAATAGCCAGCCCATGAATTCTAACTTCTGCCAATTCATGATATGGCGCGACCACTAGCAAATGTCATCGCTAGCGAGTATTTGTCCTCACACCCGACCTGCTGTACCCCACTGGTCACGACTTCCCACTAGAACCCAGGTAACTACCTACCTGAATAGGGCCAGTTACTAGTGAGAATCAAACTGATATTCAAGTGTTGGTTTGCAGGGATTTGATTGGTTTCAGGATATTGAGAATATTCCCTGTCCATTTAATACTGCTCGAATTCGTAATAAGGATTTTAAAGCATTTGAAAATACTCTCTGCAAACAAAGTAACCAGTTAAATGAGTTTCAATTAGAATTATGTAGGGCATATTAAATTCAGCCTATTAAAACTGAATACAATAATACCTCAATTCAGTGAAGTACATTCAGCTATCGAATTCACATGTGAAGAAGAATCTCAAAGTATAATTGCCTTTTTAGACGTCTTATTGACAAGAAGACCAGATGGTAATACAAAAAGGAATCGGCATAAGAAAAGTACTTGAACTGGTCAATATACACATTTTCACAGCTTTGTTCCTCCCATTTTATATGGGAGACATTTGGTAAAGACCCTCAGCTACAGGGCCAGACCTACTTGCAACTGAAGACGAAATAAAGCTTGTATATGACACATTAATCGAAAACACATACACATCACTGAACACATAGCCAAATGAGTAGAGATTGATTCTTCTATACCTCTTAATAAGCCTTTATATATACGACTACACTTCAAAGATGATATAATAATAAATAAGTTGAGAAAATCGATTCACAGGAAGTTTGACTGACTGATTTCAACGTAGAACTTTGCACAGATGTGCAGCAGTTTAAGTTGCCACACTCCCTCTATATACCACACAAAGCAAGAGAACAGAGTAAAGAGAGTTTTAAAAGAGATAACAGAGATATGAGGCAAAAAGAATAGTAATATAGAAGAAGAATAGAACTTTATTGGATATGATAAATGACAAAGAGTGAATGAATCTGCGCCAGCCATTGAGAACGATTTTGAGCCAATTGTCTCCAGTTATTGGTTTCTACCATCCCAAGTACCCCAACTAGTCAGGAAGTCTACACCTCCCTACGTGACTGGCAGACTTAAAATAACTATTGTGGATTTCATTGACTGAGGAAGTCATGCTTTTGTTTGACCACTACTAGCCCTCTTCCAACATGATGTTATGTCGGCTAACATTGCCCGTCGAGGAAGGCTATTGCTCTTGGAACCTAATCTTTCGTGCTTGAGAACACCTACCAGTGTGGCTATATGAAGCTGCTGTTAAAGTCGTCAATAGTACCATATTGGATCACCTCGTTCAAACAGGCCACAAATCTAGCAGCACTGAAGAGTATTTCTCTATCATCTATCGAGTATCGAATAAATCACCAAAAGACTCTAAACACAAAGCATTCCAAGCAGCAGAGGCCATTGCAATTCGGTTAAATCAACCGGAGGTCTGCATGCAAAAGAGACAGGTCCAGCCACTGTTTCAACTCTGGCCTGCTGTTGAACCTATAAATTCATGAATTCTGTGTTAATTCACTTAATTTATCTGACATTCAATTTAGTGTTATCTCTCTCCTACTGATGCTTCTGAAATGTAATCTGCCGATACTATTGATTCAATGTAATTCAGAGCAGCATTAGTGTTGTTAATAACAATATTTGTTGAATTATTACTATGATGTAAGTGTAGACCCTAATGACGAATTGATCGGAAGCAATATTCTTTGTTCATTAGTCAATCGTTCAAATTATTTTTAACGGGTATCTTCAATGAACTACAGCAGTAATTTATTTACATTTATTAATTATTTCATAGACTTACTGATTACACCTTCCACAGAAATATCTATTCTCTCCGACCAATTCTGCTTCAGAAAAGTAATGGGATAAACAATCATCCAACGTTAGCGTAGACCATTTGTCTATCCATCGTTTGGGTCTACAAGTGAAAAGTTAAATGGGAACTTAAGGTGATCAAGTTATACAAATGCGTCATCTAAAAAATTATTCAAACAGTTTAATAAAGGCAGGTTCCAAATCATCCAAGTGGATAATCAAAAAAATGTATGACTTATCATGGTAGCTGAATATTGAGAACTAGTCTTATCAACAAATTTAATACACTGAAAAGATAGTATACACAATAGTATACATTCTATTTACCCTCTTCAATACCCACGATCGCCATATTGATCCAAGCTACTATTGTATTCAGTCTGTTGTAGAAAGAGGTTATCAATTACCAACTGGTAAACCCTAACATGTTTGCGACCATTGTAACGACAAAAGGTAAGAGTCAGGCAACAGATCGTTTATTAAGGAAAATAAACATATATTTATAGATTTTTATGTACATTATTGTAGATTATTGTTAGCAGACAAACACAGTCTTTTGATTGGTTGTTTCTCACAGAAAGTTAACCTTGCATCTACTTGTGGCTCTGTCAGATCATCCATATGCTAACTGTATCCGCCTACGCAAAGCCTTTGTTCTCATTTTCTCACCACCAATATTGGGGACATAAACATTGACGTCGATTACTGTCTGCCAACTTTGGCTAGCAGCCAGCTCTCACCACATCATCTGAACCGAGAGACAGGTGACAGGATTTGAGGATACAGGCTCAGTGAAGGTATGGCCAATGAGATGATCATAGAAAGAGATGGATCTCCAATAATCTTCCAGAATAAGATCCCCAACAATGTTGAGAAAATAATTTAGTCTCCCTATAGCTCTTTAAAACGGTTGAAAACCACAGCTCAGCTGAAACGTATAGTCTTAGTTCAGATAAAAATTTCGACAAACTTAATGATAAGAAATACTTAAAAATTCCAGACTTATTTTACAGTGATCAATCATAATAACTACACACTCTGAATTCTAATTTTCGACCAATTCACAGTTAAACAACATTAAAACTCTCCAAGAAGTATTCAGTACGAAAATGACTTTACAAAACAATGCTGGAATATATACTATAGATTATTAGATGGTTGGAAGCAATTAGCAAGGAGCCTTAGACCTAGGTTTCGTGCTTCTTGTGGTACTCATCAAAAGGCGTACTTGCAGTCCTGAAGTAACCCATGCCCCTTATGAGATTCGAATCCGGGTCTGCCAGTGCTGCAGTCGGACGACACGTTACCGCTGAGCTATTCGGGTTCGCTATTGACCTCATCTAGGGCTGTAATGGATACCTTCATTGGAAACTAGGCAGTAAATGATGTCAAGCATCTGGTCCTTGGTGTTGGCGCAGATGTATTCAATCTCTGTAATCTTTCATTTTCTTTTCTACCATTACTCATTCTGTTTCATTCTTATACTTGTCAAAACTCTATTGATTCTCTTCACTCATTTCCTTGTCTACCTTTGTGTGCTATTTGGAACGTGGCAACTCGAACTACTGCACTTCGGTGCTAAGTTCTATGTTGAATCCAGACAGATCTTGGTGTTGGTGCAGAGTAAATTCTACCAGTCAAGTAGACAAAGTGACTAACATGTTAGATGCTTGCCATCAAAGTACACTCTGAATTATTGTTAGATAGTTGAAGACAATCACCACGAATCCTTGGACCTAGGTTTCGCGCATGTTGGTATGTTAGTCAAATTGCAAACTTGGCTGACAGGATTCGGTATGCATCAACACCAAGAACTAGACACGTGATATTAGTTACCGCCTAGTGTTCAATGAAAGGATACTACAGATTAAAATTGTGAACTATTGAATATTAGTTTCTTTATAACTGTACTAAAACTGACCAAGTTGACAATATTTCAAGAAGCTAGTGATAATTTTGATTGATTTAAAGTTAGTCATGAACCAACACCTACTGAAGGAACCATTGAAAACCAAAGAGCAAGGGATAGCACTTTCGTCCCGTGAAAACTCGACTCTGCTTATTTGAAGCAGACTTCAAATTGAAGTATACGCTGAAGATGTTGCCTATCAGGGCAATTGAAAGCTTCGCAAACAAACCAACCAACTCACAGAACACAACTACATCAAAATCATCCACCTAAGCTACAAATCTTCTCCATCATACTTCATTAATTCTACAGGGTGACATCAGTAATCTAACTGTAAGACAACAGGTGCCATCTAAATGGCATTGCTAAGCGTAGGTGTTATTATGACAGACCGTAAGAATCATGTAAAAATAATAGAGATGGATGGGTTTCGAAGTTACCTTAAGTAAGTGTAGAGGTTTCTCACACCACTCTAAAACTGTACATAGTCGCATAGATCAATAACTGCAATCTGTGCGGGACACATGCAAACGTGTAATCATGGATTTTCTATAAACCACAACATGAAAATTATTCAACTAAACAGCAAAAAACCAAAAAACAAATATCTCAGAGAAACTTACGAAGGCATAAAACTCTGTACATATGAAAACATTATATGAGTAAGCGTTAAAAGCAGAGTTAAAAGCCAAGGGATTGCATTTACTAAACGATCTATCACCGGAAATGAAGATAATAAGGAAAATTTTGTCCTCAAACTATGAGTTGGAGTAGATTTCGGACTTGGTGAACAACAAGATTGTATACGCTGTGAATCACCATCGGATGTTTTAACATAAACAGGCCCATTTTTTATTACAGAGCCATTCATAAAAGAGGATTTTGTAGATTCTTCAACTGGTGAGGATAAATTACAAGTTTGTGCAGTCGGTCTAGCAAGGGAGAGAGATAAGTCCATAAATGTTTCTTCTCGATTGGAAAGCTAAAAGATAATAACAGTAAAAAAAGAATATTAACGCTACACATCAAAATGGTAGTAGCAATAAAAAAACAAAAAGACCGCACCGATTAATTTATGATAGATGTATATATATAGCCTAAACCACAGGTTATAAAAATTTTCGCTTTTTTTAATTAACGTGAATAAATACAAGTGTTAATGCAAACGCTTTCATATTACGAAAGGTATTTGACAATAGAACTGCATTTACGGTATTAGAGATAACAACGAATCTGCCAGTAGACTTTTCACACACTTATAAAAGTTTAGGTTTACTAACACGTTTTTTTTAAAATAACTGATTTCATTCACCTGAATGAATGAATGAAGAAAAAGCACGTCTCATAGAAACATGTATGTTTTCATAAAATCTAAATAATGCCAGTAAAGAAGAAGCGTTTCTCACGCAAGTTGTACAGCTGATTTAATTAGGGAAGAAGATGGAGAATAATACACAACTAAGATTTAATTATGAACATATAAGTCAGAAAAAAGATCTCTTTTCGGTTTACACTGAACTTTCGTAAAACATGGGATTAGTTTGAATAAATGTGATGAAGAGTAATAACAGTAATTTCCAGTAATCCTTGACGCATAACTTGAACAATCAACGCGCAATCAGTTTCCATGAGTTATCACTTCAGATTTCTACTACACACTAGGTCCCGACCGAAAGCTGCTACCTTGACGTGGTGGTCGGGCTTGCATATCGTAATGACCCAACGAGCTACATTGGCTGGAATTTATGTTCCTGTAGGTCCTACCATGCCAGAAAGGTTGTTTGGATAGCGGTTAGACAAAAAGCAGCTACCCAATCCAATACTATGACTCAAACAAAATCACAAAATATCATGCTGGATCGGTCGGGGCCCGGATTAACAACGACCGCCCTTCCTGCTGCCGTGTCACAGGGCAGAAGTGATAAATATGCTACTGTGACACACCAAATTATTATATTATTATTATTATTATTATTTCCTTTAATTCCTAGAGGAACATAGGGCTTCAGCCATGCGTCTCCATTGCGTTCGGTTTTCTGCTGTAGTTTTCATCTGGCTCCAAGTCTGCCCACACGCTTTCAATTCCTCTTCACATGATCTCCTCCAGGTCACCCTTGGACGACCAACTCGTCGCTTCCCTTTCGGGTTCCACTCGATGGCTTGTCTAGTGATGTCACTTGCTGGTTTCCTCAGAGTGTGTCCAATCCATCTCCATTTCTTCCTGCCTATTTGTTTCACGATCGGTTCCTGGTTGGTTCGCTCCCAGAGATCTTTGTTGCTGATCCTCTCCGGCCATTTGATCTTGAGTATTGAGCGAAGGCATTTGTTAATGAAGGTCTGTAGCTTGTTTGAGCTGCTCTTTGTGACACGCCAAGTCTCTGATCCGTATAGTAGTACTGACTTCACATTGGAGTTGAAAATACGGATCTTATTTTTGACGCTGAATGCTGTTGACCTCCACATAGACTTGAGAGAAATGAAAACTTGTCTTGCTTTTCCGATTCTGGCTTTGATATCCTCGTCAGTTCCTCCTGTAGTTGAGACGATGCTTCCCAGGTAGGTGAAAGAAGTTGTTTCCTTCAGGTTCCTCCCATTTATGCTGATTGTTGTCGGTTGTTGCTGTTGATGTTGGCCAGGAATCTTCATTACCTCTGTTTTGTCTATGTTCACTTGAAGTCCTATCTTTGCTGCTTCTTCTGCCAATTTGTTGCTTTTCACTTGCATATCTTCCAGTTTGTGGGAAATCAGACATATATCATCGGCGAAATCCAAATCCTCCAAGGCTTTTGTGTCGGTCCATTTTATGCCTGTTCCCTCGTTGGTTGCCGTTGTCTGCCGCATTATCCAATCTACTGCAATCAGGAAGATCATTGGTGACAGTAGACAGCCTTGTCTCACTCCCGTCCTCACTTCGAAGGATTCCGTGAGCCTCCCGTTGTGGATTACTTGGCATGCAGCGTTGTCATACAGCTGTTGGATGAGATGAATAATTGTCGGCGGCACGCCGTAGTAGCGAAGTAGTTGCCAAATCACCTCTCGATCGACGCTGTCGAAGGCTTTCTCAAAATCGATGAAGTTGAGATAGAGAGGTGACTGCCATTCCAAACTTTGTTCAATGATAATCCGTAGGGTGGCGATTTGGTCAATGCATGACTTGTTCCTCCTGAATCCGGCCTGTTCCGGACGAAGTTTTTCATCTAGGGCTTGTTTAATTCTCTCCAGGATGATGCGACATAGTATCTTGCTTGGAATGGACAGAAGCATAATTCCACGCCAGTTTTTACATTGACTCAAATCTCCTTTCTTTGGCAGTTTGAATAGGTATCCGTTCTTCCAATCCTCGGGTACTTTGCCCTCTTTCCACACCTTCTCTAGTAGTGGCGTCATCAAGTCCGCTGTTGTCTCTGGGTCTATTTTCAAAGCTTCTGCTGGGATTCCATCTGGTCCTGGCGCTTTCCCAGCTTTTAGCATCTTGATGGCATTCAGGACTTCGGATTTCGTCGGAGGGTCGATGTTCATTGGTAGTTCTGCTTCCGTTGTTGGTATTGTTGGACGCGTTGTAGGTGGCGGACGATTTAGAAGTCTTTTGAAGTGTTCAGCCCAGTGCTTCCTCTGTTCCACCTCTTTGGTGATTGACTTTCCATTGTCGTCCTTTATTGGCTTAATCTGTGTCGAACTTTTGCCCGAAAGGTGCCTAGTTGTTTGGTATAGTGTAGCGAGGTCTCCTTTGCCTGCAGCTTGTTCTGCTTCGTTTGCCATGGTTTCACAATATTTTCTTTTGTCTTCCCTGGCACTTTTCTTCACTCTTTTGTTCAGTGCATTGTAGCTTGCATTCAACTCCTGTTTCTGTTGCTCGTCGGTGCACTGGATAATCTTTTGTTTCGCCACCCTTCTCTCTTCTATTAGTTTCCAAGTGTCCGTAGAGAGCCACTGTTTGTCCTGTCTCTTTTTTCTGCCTAGGACTTCCATGCAGGTTTGACTCCACACCGTTTTCAATTTGTTCCAATGCTTTTCGACGCTGACCTTTTCGTTGGTGTTGATTTGTGTCTCGGCTTTTTCCTTTATGTTTGCAATGAAGATGTCCTTTGTAGCCTGGTCCTTCAGCTTTTGAGTGTTGAACTTGGCTTGTGGTCTATCTGCAGCTCCTGTTTCCCTGAAAGCTTTTAATTTGATTTGGATTGTCCCTTGTACGAGGTAGTGGTCTGAGCCAACGTCTGCTCCTCTTCTTGCTCTTGTGTCCAGTAGGCTGCGTCTCCACTTCCTCGATATTGTGATGAAGTCAATTTGGTTTTTGGTTCGCCCGTCTGGTGACACCCATGTAGCCTTGTGGATATCTCTGTGCTTGTAAACACTGCCACCAATCACTAGTTCGTTGAAGGCGCAGAAGTCGGCGAAGAGTTCTCCGTTTTCATTCATTTCTCCAAGAGCTTCTCTACCCATGATGAGTTCTCTTCCTGTATTGTCTGGTCCCAGTTTGGCGTTCATATCTCCCATTAGTATTTTAATGTCGCCAGTTGGAGTATTGTCTATTGCTGCCTGTAGTTGTCTGTAAAATTCTTCTTTCGCTTCGAGGTCTGCGTTGTTGGTGGGTGCATAACATTGGATTATTGACACTTTTCTTCCTTTGGAGTTGAATCTGGCGGTCATTATCCTGGACGAGATCGCTTCCCATTGCATCAGGGCTTTCGTTGCCGTTGGTGACATCATGATAGCCACGCCCTCGGTGTGCGTGTGGTTATCTTCTGGGTGACCGGAGTAGATCACTGACTCTCCCGTTGATAGTTTGGTGAGTCCACTTCCATTCCATCTGCTTTCACATATTCCCAGCACTTGGATTCTGTATCTTTTCATCTCGCTGGCGATCTGGGCAGCTTTGCCAGTCTCGTACATGGTGCGGACATTCCATGTCCCCACACAGACTTTTTCTTTTGTCGCAAGGAGATTGCTCATGGTGAAGTTTCTGTAGCAGGTTTGTTTACAGGGTGGGGTTGCTGGCCTCACGCCTGAGTTTCGTCTTCGGGTACCTGAAATGGAAGAAAGGTTAGTGTTGCGTGACCGCAGAGTCCAGGGGACATCTGCTTGAGGCCGGTCACACGCGGCCTGGTGTGTCTCAGTAGCGTACTTATCACTTCTGCCCTGTGACACGGCAGCAGAAAGCGCGGTCGTTGTTAATCCGGGCCACGGCCGATCCGGCATGATATTTCTTAGATTTGTTGGGTTCATAGGTTTGGATTGATGAATGATGGCGACTAAGTCCAGCCCCCACTGATACCGTCGCCAATGTATCAGTAGGTTGTGAGGTTTGAAAAATTTCGTTGGCGTCCGCTGCTACTGTCAACGGAGCTACTCATGAAGCGGTGTGGCGACCCAAGTTACCTTCTACTGATACCGTCGCCACAGTCATACCAGTAGAAGTCCGGTTAAGCTGCCGGTCAGCCTCGGGTTCAAGCAAAAAAAATGGAGAAAACCAGCAGAACATCAAAAATTCCATAATTTCGCAACGGTAAAGCCTACAGGGACGACACAGGTACCAATCGATTCGTCTTGTTGAGAGGAATCCAATGGTATATAAATCAGAGGGTAAAAGCTATTCCTAAGAAAAATAATCGAATTTTCCTTCCTAGCAGTCTCTGCCCCCCTACTGCCCTATGGTTGGTAATGCCCCCTAGCTACATACACAACGGCAAACAACCTGAGGTCACGGAGCTAAAAGTGTCAAGAGAACAGCCAGCGGCATGAACTCTGAGCCTAGAAACAGGTTTCCCCTATAGCCTTTGAAAAATTCCCTATTCGGCTGAGGAGAAGCTATAAGGTGCGAAACCGGTACCAATAGGTAGATCTCGTCGAGAGCTATCCATTGATATATAGCTTACCTAGGTCCTAGCCTCCCTAATAAAATTTCGGCAGCATTCCCCCTAGGGGCACTAGCCCAGACAAGACAAGTCCCTATTCGGCTGAGGAGAAGTTACAAAGTTCGAAACCAATGTCAAAAGATAGGTCGCTATGAGAGCTATCCATTGATATATAACTTCACCTAAGTCCTAGCCTCCCTAGAATAAGGAACAAACAAAAACAGACCGTGTGTGACTGGCCTCAAGCAGTTGTCCCCTGGGCTCTGCGGTCACGCAACCAACTTCCACGGTGTGGGCAGCCAGGAAGTAACAATCGCCCTCACAATCCGAAGTGCACGCGAAACCTCTTCACTCATCTTTGTCTTCATCTTCATCTCTATTATCTTGCCTTCCCTCTACTAATGCAACTCCTTTACTTGATGGCTCTTCACTCTATGTGCACTGAAAACGACACACTAGGTTAGTTGTTTCGGAATTTCTGATGTACAGCAAATCAACGGTTACGATATTAGTACTTCAGGTTTGATCACGGACTGATGTCATTTAGAGAACCACTGAAAACCTGGGAATAATGGACAGCTGTTCTGTCCTAAAGAATCACGAATTGGTGGCGACAGTTAGAATGCATGAGTCCTCAAGTCGGATCTCAGTGGGCTAAATGGTCTACGAGCCTCCGTTGCAACCAGAAAGCCCTGGGTTGAAAGCCCAGTGACTGCGTACTGATGATGAATGCCAAACTAAGGGAAAACAGCTGTCCCTGCTAGTTTTCAATGGTTCTCTAACTGATATCAATCTATGGTCAAACTTGCGACATATCAATCCCTACAAATAAAGTCTTGAAAGTATCAGTACTTAGCGAACAGCTACAGTTGTATGCACTTAAATCATAAAACATGACTGACCGACTGACAAATATCTAGACTGAGCAAAATTTAACCTGCAATCAATGGAGTAGAGAGTGAAATATCCACAGTTACAAAAGTTATTTCTAATAAAAAAAGTCAATCGCAAACCAATATATTTCGATAAACGCGACAAATTCATCCCAACAAAACTTTTCTCATAAGAAAGACTTGAAATGAATTACTAGATTATCACATAGAAAGTCATAAAATTCAGTGGCTACTCTGTCAGCACTTAATTTTAAAAACCCAGAAAATAGGAGGAAAAAGTCACAAGTTAGGAAAAGTTCAGTCCCTTTTAAAGTGACTTACCCGATTGCAAGAAAGACAACGCACAGTACTAACTAGTCTACCTTGAAAGACATCGGTGATTATGCTGCTGCTGTTGTCTGATGGATTAGATGTCGTTTGTTTTGTACCTGATGAAGCTGTTCAAAAAAGAACGGTTATAATCATCAAAGACTTTGAGTATAAGAATAAAAATTAAGCACTGTGGTAGAGTATAATTCCATGATACAAAAATTATATTACGATAAATCAGTGACCAAGTATTGTATTTTTTATTTCCTTACATTCCCAGTGGAACGTAGGGTCATTGTTATTTTACAGATGGGTTGTTAGCCTGATACCCAACCTTCCCTCTTTACCAGTCTTATTACTGGCTTAGCGAGGTAAAGGACTGCGTCGGTCGGGGATCGAACCCCGGACCACATGCGTGGTTGGCGGGCATTCTACCGCCGTGCCACCGACGCAAGCACTATTTAATGATAAATAAATAAAACTTTATAGACTGTGCTGCATCACAACGTTTCATCAAATAAAATTATTCCACTAAGAAGAAACTTCTGGTGTTTTAGCAGTTTCCAGACTAAATGAAAACGATAAATTAAGGTAACTTTGGCGGTGGCATACACTTAAAGGTGAATTTTCAAAAAGTTCATCACAACTTGAAAAACTTTTTTCTATGAAACTCACTTTCAAATTAGAAATAAACACATATATGAAGCCCAACTGAACACTTATGCTTTATGTAAAGTTCCACTGGTTAAATAACTGGTGAACTTAATACAAGGTGGACAAAATAGTCAACCAGTTTCTAAAATATGTGATTCTTGTTATCAAAATGCACTGTCTAGTTCAGTCTAACCAAAGTAATCTATAGATGAATAGTGGGTGTAATTTCTTAGTGTTAATCATGAAAGTTGAACAATTACAATCACATGTACTACACAAAATCTGCTGATTCAAAATCCAGAATGCACAACAATTTAACTCGTAAGAATATATCACAGTTATCAAATAAGATCACGTGAACTTTAGGGAGCTAGCTACACTCACAATTGTTAATCAATAAATTAGTGTCAGCTCAAGTGAGCAATAACATATCAATGATATTGAAAATGAGCCACATTTATTGTCTGACGGTTAGTGACGCTACCATGTTACCTAGACCAAAGTTATGTGGAATCTAAACCCTGAACACATCTGTTGAAAGTTAAGCTTTCGGGTCAATAACCTATACACGACTACTAGTAATCGTATTGGACCACTGTTTTTAGTGTATGTACGGTTAATTTATAAAACATAGCTCACGATTATTTTAGTTTTATCACCGATATCCTTAAATTGCTCATGTTATTCACAGTATAAACATTTTACTACACTCATAATGTATTAAAGTGGTTAACTATTTGAAAACTATGAGTATCCATCTACGACCATTCCGTTTTCGTGTTCATAGGATGAGCTAAGCTCATACGATACCGATCTTTAGAAAAGGTAATGCTACAAGGCCTCACAAATTCAATTTACAGAGCTTTACAGTAACTTTTGCAACAATATGAATGCACCTGATTAAAAAATAACAATTAGTCTAATTATAAATGATAAATAGCTTATTCGAAAAATTGACTCGAAAAGGCATATTAAAATTTAGACACGAGGGACTGTACCAAGACACATGAAAGATATTTCGTTTGTAGTGACTCCATACATACCTCGCTTTTCTGAAATTGAAATTTTAGAATGTTTAAGCTCTTCATGTAGCTGAACCAAGAAAAGTCTCAGAAACTCTTGAGCATCATGTTGTGAATAACCTCTGAACATTGGGTGAGTAGTGCAAAAAGCATCCAAAATTGTATTTGCGTTGAAGCAACGTTGTCTAAATGAAGGGATAAAAAGTCAGTATAAGAATACGTACGACAAAAATGTAGTACGACGACAACCTGTGGGGAAAATCCCAGTTAATCTTGATAAGTTTGAAAAAACCAAGTTAGCAAAGCGGTAACCCAGTAGGTCAATTAAGCACTAATAAACTATCAATTTGGAATAATGGCTAAGTTAAACATAAGGATAAAAAATTAGGCCCACAATTACAAACTACAAACACTAGAGATAATTACGACTGAAACCACATTAAGGAGAGTATGCACTTAGGATACAAAGCTGAGTGACTCAAAGCACTTCAGAAAGCACGATCTCGTACTTACTTCCGAAAATTTAACGAAAATTCATAGTAATTCCGTTGAGTAGATTTATTTTATGGATTAGAGAAAATGAAAGTATCCCAGGAAACGCATCTGATTTGATTATGACCAAAGTACGTTGTTTTACGGTTGATATAATTAAAAATATTGTGGCTGTAAGTTTTAAGTCACACTTATGAAACAGTATTGATAAAAAAAAGTCAGTCAATCCGAGAACCTGTGAATCGGCGCTAACCAGTACCTATTGCAATAATCAATATCAGCCAAGGCATAGATACCTTGGGTGAATGAGACAAATGAATAGGAAAAGTCGACGAAATGGTTCACAAACATTTATGGCAGCAGGTACGATCCCACCCTGGCTAAACTTCTAATTGTCCTATAAATTCGATGCATATAACTTTATAAATAGATAAAACTGCTGAGTAAGTGTAGTTCTGATTTAGTACCTCTATCAAGTAAAAAACTTATTTCGAAAATCATGAACATTGACCTTCCGGATAATGTCTGACTAGCTGTCCTAAAGGAAGAGATGCACTGTGAACTACAACTTAATCATAAAATATGAATTATAGTAAGAGGAAGTCTATCGTTGTGGGTGCTATTTTATGAGTTCTAAGAATTACAAATATGTTTACAAGCACAAAACTTTGTTACCTTTCATTCCCCCAAAATTCAGAAAGCAAAGTATAATAGTGAGACAGAAGAACAAGCTTCCGATTAGGGTCAAGAATATCATGACACTCCAAAAAGAACTCCGTCAAATGAGGGCTGAAAAGCTATGAATAAAGTAATCACTTCAAATTACCAATTTGATAAGGCTTGCAAAGCAGCATTCATGTAGCATGTGTTCCCTATGTTACGAAGACCACCAAGACCAACTGACATCAGCTGGTCTGAATTCAACATAGCATCTCCGAAGTCATCATTCATATTCACTAACATTACTAAGACACATGACGCTAGTAGCGTCTACGTACAACCACCGCCAATGCTCTAGGACCAAATTTTAAATGGTCAATATTCGGACGTTAAACATCAGACTACTGTCACCTCCACAAGAACTGTTTTTTCATTTTCCACCGTAAAACTGAACAACCTCATAAAGTTAGTGGTCTGAACCTGACCCAGAATTTGAAATCAGATACCAATCTTCACTGTTCCAGTAAACGCATTAATTTGAAAGCATTGAGTTAGTTACCCTTGCTATTTGTCATGCTGTGGCACTGAGTTCAGTTGTTCATGAACAATTTGTAGCCAGCATAGTGCAAATCTCTGTTTGAAGGGACCTCTTTTTGATTCCTTTGCGTTCCTAGTAGGACATAGGGTTTCCTACACCTTACCCACGCCGTATAGTATTGCGTCTCTCTGTCTTGTTCGGATTCGTTTATATTCTTCTCAGGCATCTGCACATGTGTATGTTCAAATTCACTTGATACTTAGGGAATTAACCTCTAAAACTTATAGTTCTATATCACCAAAGCCCAATAACATGAATTTAACCGATAAATTTAACAGATAAAAAAATACGTATCGACACAAATCAACAAGATGTGTAAATTTACTCTGTTCTCTGACCCTGTAATATGCCTCTAACCAATCTGTGTTGTTTTCCAATAAAAATCTGAACTCTTACCCCTCTTATCTAATTCCACTATATATAATTAGTTGTTTTTTGACACCGAATAACCTGTCTACCTACATCAAATTCTGGAATTATGTTCCTTATGCCTTCTATCTATAACTCAAAGTAATTATGAAAAAGTATGTTCCACAACTTTCTTGAAACCTATAATTTGATTTTGTTTAGGATGTATGCATTGATGAGAATCCACGAAATAAAACGAGCTCGTATTATCCTGCAAACATGTTCATTCTTTCTCTCTTCAAACTAATAAAGGGAACCGGTTGCATGAAATAATAAAAATGCTGGGGTATAGTCAGAAGCCATCAGATCTTGACTCAAAATATCTGACTTAGCGGTATTTATAGACCGGTAACTTTCAATTCTTAAGGGCCTCCGAGCTAATTTGCATGTTGACCTCAGGTCGAAGTAACGCACATCATCGATGATCGGCTACACATCCTTCTAGAACTCGCTTTTCTACACATATTCGATGACTCCTCAAAATGCCTTATGGTAATCTGATGAGGAGGATGCTTCCTTTGCCACTTCTGCTGATGAGGAGAGAACATAATAATCATGCCTGCTTATATAGGTTCATTTCGGGTGGTAAAAAATTATGGGAATTCACAACCACAACAAAATGCGGTCATCAGTCCCTGGTCTCTGCATATCCACTAACATTTTTCTTCTATCAAGCGTTTAACAACAGCATCGTGAGTAAGTTCATACCAGTGTGTGATTGTCTTTGATGCCTCTCGTATGTATCACTTTCCACACTTTATGGGAGAAATTCCAAGTTATTACAGTGATTCCAAGTGTAGTAATTTTACTTTGGATCAGCTGGGCAACTAAAATAACCGTGGAAATATACTAACGTGGACAGATATCACTTAGTTTGCAACGAGCCATCTGCTACCATCTCTTTTGAGTTTCATTAATACTTCATTGTTTTTATTCCCGTTTTTGTCAGATTCTTGTAACTTAGGTGTATTGTGCATTTCTTTTTTGATAACGCCTCACTTATATGACGGCACATCTGCCATCAACTTTTAAACCAATAGGGCGAAATTATCGACAGTAACTAGCACGATCAGAAATTGTGATCCATCCAGTTGGGACACTATTCTACTGACTAACAATGAAGTTGGCGACCACTAGATACCAATGCTACGTTTGATGTTACCTCATTCAGTTGGTGGATAAGTTCCCGAGAGGATATTTCACTCTCCAACCCAAAAACCTCGTGATATGTACAATCAAGAGGTACTTAGCCGCCTCTAAATGGCTCGAAATCAGTTCATGGGTAGGTTATTTAAAAGAATACCCTGAGGGATGGGATTCCATTTCACTACTTGAGACATTTATAACTACTGGATGGTGGGACTATGAGTGGAACATACTGCGGCAAACTGGACGCGTCAACTGATCCTACATGAGGTTAACACCTAATTCATAACTCTAACATTCTACAAATAGGCAGATTACTAGCCTAGTCGAATGAATAATACAGCGAGATCGTTTGACAGAGAGAAACACGTAAATCGTGCTGGCTCGCAATGTACTGGTGGCAACATACCAGTTTCATAAATTCGAACAACTTCAAGACACCTACAGAAACTGTAGCTGAATGATTGTCCCAAAAATTTTATCTAAACAATATGCTAACAATACCAGTACCTATTTGAGAACTCCAACTCTTTTATAATTACTGTGCTTTACTACCGACATTTTTCGCATCTTCTGATTAAGTTTTTATGTGTCCTTGTTCACGGTTGCTTCTTTTTCTTAGCGCTTCACTTCATTTTCATGTGTTGCTGAACAGTTGACCATAATGTGCTTCTTTTGTCCATTAATGAATTATGAAATAATAATATGATCATTTACGTCCTATTCTTCAATATTATGTTAATTAGACAGTTTTGTTGTTCATCTTTCACTATTGCTCATATTATTTATTCAAATTCAGGCTTTCGTTAGCCATCCATATGCTTGGAGTTTTGACTCTGGATTTGTGATGTAATTAACTGATATTCTTCTTAAAAAACAATTCTCAAGTCCTCAACATTATTATTTTGATACAAATCTGTTTGGAACAATCTAGCATTTGATTTATTTATATCGAATGGTACGTGTTTATGTTTTCACTGCTACTTGGCTATATATTCCATAGTAACAGTGTTGCGTTTTACTTTTGTCGATATTTTGTTTGGGCTGACTCAGGGTTGTGTCGTCCGGTTTATGCCTGCCCTAAGACTGCCTTCTAGAAGTGTATCTCTTCCTGACGGATATGTGATCCCATTTCGTCACGATTAGTTTTGCTGCTTCTCACTACGTATTTTATAAAGAAAAACCTTCGGACTGTGAGCGTTGTAGACGTGTTTTGCGTCTTAATTTAAACTATCACTGTTCAGTTGTTTTACAGATCTCATCATGCAGAATCGAGATTGGATATTGCAAAGACATAATCTCAGACTCTGAAACACGAAAGATGAGCTGACTGTAAAGAAGGACGGAGTAAATCATAAGAACAGGGTGATAACACTCAAGTCATCTTTTGGATTTGTTGTCAACATGCATGGCTTTCAGCAGTCATAAGGACAATAGGGAAACTGATTATGTGTAATCGGAGCTGACAGTCTAATAGAATGGACCTAAATTAAGAGTTAGACCCGGATAAGCATTACTCATTCGACGTTTGTGAGTCCCATTAGTGGTCCAGCTCATAATCCAAAAATGCATACAAGTTGTGCTTATTCAGGAACCCAGATAAGTAAACAGTACTTCACATACTGGACTTTGTTTACTAATGCTACTGTGTCTACGAAAGCCTGAACTAGGCTGTGCTCCGTATAAAATCTTATTGGCTGAGGAAGATATCTTTAGGAAAACCACATTAACCAACTTCTGACTGTTCAATTTTAAGAAAATGTATATATGTTTATCACAGAATATTTAATTAGTAGTTAATAACAATATTAGCGATTTTTTAAATAATTTAAGTATGATCATGTATGCAGTCATTAAGATAATTATATAAGATATATAGAGAATAGAATATCAACTAAATCAGGGATTCACAAAATCTGATTATTACGAAATAAAATATAAAGTATGCGTAATACCTGAACTGTTTTTCAATTGGTTACAGGATTTCCATCATGAGCTGACATTAGTTAGAGAACCATTGGAAAATCTGGGAGTACTGGACAGCTGTTTCGTCCTAGTTTGGGACTCTTCAGCAGTACGCACCCACCGGGATTCGAACCCAGGACCTTCCGGTTACAAGGCGAGCTCGTATACCATTAAGCCACTGAGACCCAATCCAATGGTCCATGAATTCTAACTTCTGCCAATTCACGACATAGCGCGACCCCTAGCCAATGTCTTCGGCGAGTATTTGTCCTCACACCCGACCTGCTGCACCCTACTGGTCACGACTTCTCACTAGAACCCCAGGCAACTACCTACCTGAATAGGGCAAGTCACTAGTGAGCATCTCATTGATATTCAAGTGTTGGTTTGTAGGGATTTGATTGGTTACAGGATTTCCATCATGAGCTGACATTAGTTAGAGAACCATTGGAAAACCTGGGAGTACTGGACAGCTGTTTCGTCCTAGTTTGGGACTCTTCATCAGTACGCACCCACCGATTTTACAGGCAGGGTGATGTTCGGAAATTCGACAAGAAACACGCCTAATTGTACGGCCTATGTAACTGTCACAGAGCAGTAATTGGGAGAAAGGCATTTGTCTTTTAGAACGCAGAAGAATTGGTAATTCACTAGACGTTATATTGTTAAGCTCTCGTCAAGACATTCATCCGAGCAAATCTCTCTTGCTCTGTGGACCAAGCACTTTATTAGATTGCGTTTGTATTTCAAGGGCACAAAGCTGAGAAAATGTGTGTACTGGCCCGTTGATGTGGTTTCTATAAACATTTCTTCTTATTGTGCCATCCTCTTTTCTGGTCATAAGGACGTCTAGAAATGAAATACTAGAGTTTTTTTCTTTCTCAATAGTAAAATTTATCTCGACTCTCATACTAACAATATTTGGCATTAAAACAGTTAGTAACAAGAAATAACATGGCGAGAGATCAATTTAATGTCTTCCAGCTCAAAGTGCAGGGCTCCAGTTGCCACACCAACGAAAATTGTGAGATGGTGAAAGTGTGGAAACTGGCTGTCCCATCAAAATAATTACCTAAATTACCAGCTTGTATTGTTGCAGAAAACTAATTTTGGCTTTACACAGCAGCTGTGGCTGGGTAAAGTGGAGAAACCTAATCAAAACACAGCAGATCATTCACAATTCAGTAGATTAAGGAAGCATTACAAATCATAAAGAGGATATAGTTCTTACCCGTTCACTTTTCATATCCTTCTGAATTAATCAATTACCGACTGCCCCTGAGTGACCGTAACATCCTGTGTCGTAGAGACCCCACATAAGCACTAAAACGAAGTGGACGTCATCGGAAAGTATCCACTAAATACTTGACATACTCAAATCAGTAATCCCCCCAGATGGATCAATATCTGCATTGTAAATGCAATCTTTGAGCGATGCACTAAGAGAAAAACTGGAGCATTTTAATGGCGTTTTCCATGCCTTGTCGAATTTTGTCAATGGAATCACATACATGAAACCTGAAGGGCTTGGAGTTATCGGTGGATTCATTAGATGCAGCCTCACGACGAAAAACTGAATTGACAGGCATTACAGCTTTGCGGTGTCCTGATGCAGACGCACCTGTCATCATTATGACAGGTGTATCGTGCATTGGAGTAGAACAGGCCTTCAGCGAACTATTCGAGAAAAGCTAGCAGCCCCCGGCACTTTCTTTCAAGTCAAATTACCACAGAACTGGCACTTTACCTCTAATAGGGGGTAGTTTGAGATATTCCTAACAGTTGGGCACTTCCAGCAGAATGTTGAATATTAGGGATCTGTACAGAAATTTTAGTGAATGATCGATTTAGGGCTGTAAAGAACATAGTATGTATTTCACGAGACTAAGGTGAACATGCTGCTGCTATATTTTGACTGAATTAGAATACACGTATCTTCTAGTATTTCTTCGCGTTTATAATTGTGCCCTAACGTTGCGATTACTCGACATCCACAATGTAATTCAAAAGGCACTTGCGAAGGAATACGATAGTGTATTATTGCAGCAATCAAGATTCAAAAATCGAGCGAGTACAAAAGTATCAATTGTTAACATGCATGATTCAGAGTAATAAACAAAGCAAAGTACAATTACATAGTGAAAGTATACTGCGATGATGAGTAATTAAACGGGTCACCACAATAGCCCCTCCGTAGAATGCAGGTAAATGAAGTTTACCAGTATTCGGAATGATATTGTAAATTACAATTACAGAAAAAATATATACGAGTTTCTGGTATGAAAACCGAATTGAGGATTTTAAGTTTTTGAGGTTTGATAATATAACTGTATATATGCAAAAATGTTAACAGCTTCGAAACGAACCAAAATGTTTATAAAGTGGTGCAAAATGTAACAATAAAAGCAGAAAAATTATTATTAGAATAATAATGAGGTTGTAATTGTAAAGAGTTACAGAATAGATTTATATCTTAACATACAGTTAATAGTATAGTAATAAGGTAGTATGGAAATGAATTGGGTAAACGTTCAGTTACCTCTATTTCCATGAAAGCTGGTTGTACAAGTGAAATTGTACAAGAAGAGATGGCTGTGCCAGAGAAGAGTGCAGCAGTAGCTGCTGCTGATACGGTTGAAAGTGCACGTCCGTCAGTATGTTGTTGTTGTTGCTGGGGTGTTGTTACTCGGCGTTGAGGAGTAACTTGAATTGATGTTTGCTGAGGTTGGAGAGTAGAAGTTGGTTGATTGATAGGCATTCCAGCAGAAGCAGTGGGCATAAACTGTGGTATACCAGTGATTTGAATCACCTGACCGTTAGGACCAACAGCCATGACTTTTAATGGAGCTCCTGGTGCCAGAGTGATAAACTGGGGAGTAACATCGGAGCATGCAGCTACAGTACCAGGTTGACCACTGACAGAGACGTCAGTTGCCATCATTGTTGGTTGTTGCTGATGTTGTTGGATATAAGTTTGCTGTTGAGCTGGTTGTAACTGATGAGCTTGTGCTTGAATCTGTTGTTGTTGAGGTGATTGGGTAAACTGTTGTAATTGAACAGCTGTAGGACCGGCTTGAGTAAATGGAGTTGCAGACCATTGTAAGAGTGTTTGCACACCTGTAGACAATGCTGAAGCTTGAGGACAGAGAACTGGAATTGAGGTGTTGCATAAGAGCCAGCTGCTACAGCTGCTTAAGTATCAGGGTGAACTGGGATAGCAGTCGCTGTGCCGCCAGGTCCGGAGGTACTTTTAGCAGAAATATCAGTAATTATACATCCAAATGTTATGAGGTTATAAAAGTTAATGCGATGGCAAAGATGATTTATTCCACTGTGTATACTTCGAAATGATGTAGTCCATCAATCAGCTATGTCGGGCTCGCCAATTTGTTGCTGCTGAATTTTGATTAAACTGGCATACACGTACATCTTAGTACTTCCTCGCGTTTATGATTGTGCCCTAACGTTGCGATTACTCGACATCCACAATGTAATTCAAAAGGCACTTGCGAAGGAATACGATAGTGTATTATTGCAGCAATCAAGATTCAAAAATCGAGCGAGTACAAAAGTATCAATTGTTAACATGCATGATTCAGAGTAATAAACAAAGCAAAGTACAATTACATAGTGAAAGTATACTGCGATGATGAGTAATAAAACGGGTCACTACAAACAAACCGCTGACATTATAATAGGAAAATAGTCTTCAAACGAAGAATAAAACTTCCAAAGAATGTTAATATTGCTTCAAGAATGAAAAATATATATGCAAGTCTCTTTCTTTTTGCCCCACCAAGAAATTATCTCCTGAGGAGAATACTTAACTAGGTCGAAAAGTGGCAGCAAGTCTTTAGCCGCAACCTTCTTACTATGTCTCTTGATAATATGTCTCCTTCCAGACTGGAACATTTAGAAGTTCAATCACTTGTATTAGACAGTCCTTTTTCAATAAGGACGGAATGTAATGATAAAACCTTCTTCCTAAGCGATTTAGTAAGCGTAGTACCGCCGGACTGCTGCTTATATCGACGAATTCCGTAGACTTACGAAATTCACTCGAGTTTAGTGTGCTGATGACCCAAAATTCTATTGGAAGTGTAAGCAGCATAATGGGATTCACGTTACATAAACAGATCTCAGAAATACTAATGAGGTCGTTACAAAATCATTGGCGTATATCGTTGTTGCTAATCGTTCAAACCACATTTGTTAAGGGAGCTTGTGCAAGCAAATGCCACTTCGACGGGACACTTCAGTGTCTATTTTAGACATAAGGCAATCTAGGAGTCTCTTGTGTGCTACTACAGACTAGGTCAACAGTCCATTTGCCAGGATTCAAATTACATAAATACTGATCATCTATCACATAGCCAGTATCTTTGATTACCGTCTACTACTTGGCCTGTGTGCATCGGTGGCACAGTTGTAGAATGCTCTCCCACCACGCATGTAGTCCAGGGCTCAATACCCGGCCGATGCAGTCCTTTATCTCGCCAAGCCAGTAATAAGTCTCGTAAAGAGGGAAGGTTGAGCACCAGGCTGGTAACCCCATCCCGTAAAAATAAACACCATTGATGCCGAAATCCCAACCCTGTAGATTGAAGCCCAATGTTCCACAGGGAAAGTAAAGGAATAAAAAATCTCAGCCTGTGCTGCCGTGTGATCGACCTCCATGATGCGATTCTGCTTTTTATTATTCCAGTTATTACATACTTTTCTTTCACCCAGTATATCAGGATACAAGTTTTAGTATTACTATGGAACTTTTCTCGTTCACTAGTTTTAGCTGTGAGGAAATCGTGAAGAGTTCATTTTTATTAACTCATATCCATGTGAATATTAATTAGACATAAGTAAGTCAGATTAAGTCGCGAACAAAAGTCTGAGACATGACACTTATGGTTTTCCTCTTTTGAATGATATAGGAATGTTGTGCTAATCACATGCCAAGTCAGTAGGGCGTATATAATTAACCAGAGTAGAAACAATCTCCCCTTTCCTAGAAGATAAGAAATAACTGTAGCGGGCCTCAAGGAATTGTCAGATGTAGAACAGATGGTATGACTGGTCTGTCACACAATGCCGAAGACAGAACGGGAATCTAACAGTGCTTTGCAGGATCTTCAGTGTTGGCAACAGATCGGATATTCATTTGCTTCTTTTTCATTTGACATCGGAAAAACTAAGATGATATAATCAAAGAATACAAATGCCAAAGATTAGCTATACTGCTATGCAGCATCTGTTCATTCACCAGGTTATGGTGTACTTATTATGATACTATAGTACATCCACATTTTCACGTTCTTTTATGTGCTAACGCAGTACACGGTCAAAGACGAACAACGTTCTGTTAAGAAGCACAAATGGAAACTTGCAAAGATATGCTGTCAACGAAACCAAATTTCAAAAAGCGTGAGGTGAAGCGAACGCCAAAAGTACATAATCGCATAAAATATATATGTAACAAACGAAAAGCAATGTTCAATATTATAATGGCAAATATTCCACAAGCATATGTACAGTTGACTTCTGTAGGCGTATAACATGCATTCATGAACTGGTATTATAAGAGTACAAATAGGCTTTTAGAGGCTGAGAATATTGGCGTTCACGGACAGTACGAAGTATACTAACGCAAGATCTAATACTAGCAACTTCCACAGTATTCACTCCGTATAGACTGAAGGAAAATCAAGTCACAAAAATTGATCGTTCAAATTACGAAGTATATTTCGGGGCCAAATCGGGGTGCGAGATGATTACTTAACTGGCTAGGAATCGTACACAAACGAACGTAACACGACGGCGTGCCGTATGACTCGGATGCTTGACCGTTATCCTTCAGCTAAACAAATCGACTTAAACAGTGAGGGTCAGCATCCAGTATTCATTGATTACTGCTGTGGCTAATAATTCTGGGGAATTACCCACCGCTACAGGCTTAATGTAGGGTCGCCACAAGGTCATAACTCTTATAGTAATTCCCATAAGAATTATTTCTATCTTCGGTTGTAACTTTTGAGGAGGAAAATGATGATCTGCGATACTTGATAGGAAAAGATGAACATGGGCTTCAAACCCTTTATCATGTACCGAAATGTGAAACTGAACATAACTTTGTGCCGCGCGTCATTTATGAATTGATGGTTTGGCGGGATTCCATCAGAAGATGCAGGACCCTACTCTACAGTTCTTGCGTGCTTTAGTCACACACGGTGAGAATAGGTATTGTTTCGACTGCCATCAGAGAGGTCCGACTTATGTCAACATAACCATTGGTTCCTTCGTCTGCACAACATGTAGTGGTGCATTGTAGGTTATGACTATACTTAATTATTTGCGTGGTAGGAGAAAGTATAATCATAGAGTAAAGTCAATTTCCATGTCGAATTTTTCACAGTCAGAGATTGATTTCTTGTGTACACGCGGGAATAAGGTAATTGTCGAGTATTCGGTAATTTTGTTTAGGCATGTCGGAAAATTTATTTGGCACTAAGTGATGACCAGACTATGACGGAAAAAGATCTGAAGGACAGTGCCTTGGATAACTTCTTAAGACAAAAGTACCAGCTGCAAAAATGGTGAGCAAATCATTTTTACGGTAATATTAACGATTGACTTCAAGTGTCTTTTGCATTATATGCGTGATATGGAACCAGCCCAACGTTAGAGTTACCCGCATCATTTTATGTAAAGGAAACAAATGAATATCAACAGATGATAGACCGCTTCTCTATAAGAGCAATCTATTTTAAGTAAGGTTGGACCGCCAGCTAATAACGAAGTGCAGCTCCATGCAGTTGGCAATGAGCCATACCTACCTTACGAGATTTAATAGTGTTACCTGACTACTGAAATCAGGTAGAACAGGGTTCGTTCGGGTTAGAAGTCAAACGCTACAGCTCCACTGAGCCACGGTCTATCAAGTAGTTGAAGGTACTCAAAACGGAGTTATTATAAAGTCAGTTATTTTTCTGGAGTTCTCAATGCCGAAAATTAGTGTCTGGGGACTGCATGATAACTTTAACTACGTCACAGATGTAGTATTACTTTATTTCTGTCTGCTTGCTGTTTTTCTTCTGAGATTGTCTTGCTTCTGTGCACTGTCACGTCTGTTTGTCCGTCTAAATCTTTTATAAACGGAAGCAGTTGTTGAGTAAAAAGAGAATTTCATAATCCAGGCTCCCAACTAGTCATTCTGCTCCCATAGCATTGTTTTTTAGTGTGTAACACGAAGACAGCTAGATGTAATTAATCCTGTAAATAAGACGAATATCCTGGTCAACTTTTGGTATATAGCAGTGGTTAACTGTTATATTGGGTTAAGCTTTTAGTAACGTTTTCCCATTCGTCATCGGTTTGGTCTCAATATCGAGTAATCAGTGCTTTTTTAAGGAGAATTCGATTAGGTGCTGATAACTGTGAATTTATATATTTTTGCTTGTTTGTCTAGAATTCTTACGCACATGAATGCAAAATGTTACTCTTCATTTACTTTATCGAAATGTCCTCTACTGTACATACTGTCTGGGTCTGTTCATTTTCAGTTTTGTATCCGGGATAACTAATTAGTAGGTAGGTAATCGTCTCAAAATCTCGTCAACCATCAACTTATCAAAGTTGACGGTAATTTCTCGGCTGATAAAATAGTTGTCTCATTTGTATGTCACCATTTGGATCCGGCTACAGCACAGATACCAACCAATGCTGAGAAGTGACCACTTCTGAGAAGTGAATAACGCACCTCAGGCATATTCAAATTATTACTTAACGTCTTCAAAAGACTGCATATCTACTATATAGAGTTTTATTTTTGTGAGTCCTATCCATATAATCATTCGGTGACAGCAATCTGTATTATTAGGCCGTTGAAAATAGCAGTGGACATCCTAGAAGGATTCATTAATGCAAATGCCTTATTAAACAGGTCTTCATCGGCTGTAACTATTATTTATCAGTATAGAGCCTTTTAGAAAGCTAAGTAATCAATTGATGCCTCTTTAAGAGAACATTTCTATTAATGGAGTCAAAAGCTGCATGCGTGTTTACACATAATTTTCCTCCAGGATCTCGTTTGAGAATATCAGACCAATAAATATGTGTCCGTGTTTATAACAGGCTTGGTTATTTCAGTTTCATTGTTTCCTAATATGAATTCGAATTAAAAGTAAACGATAGGATCTTGGAATCTATATTTTTTGAAGCTAACTGCCGTATAGTTATAATAAGAGAATTCTTCTGTAACAACAGAAGACAAGGGCCAGGCAACAGATCGTTTATTAAGGAAAATCAACACATATTTATAGATTTTAATGTACATTATTGTAGATTATTGTTAGTAGAAAATACAGTCTTTTGATTGGTTGTTTCTCACAGAAAGTTAACCTTGCATCTCTTTGTGGCTGTGTCAGATCATTCATATGCTAACTGTATCCGCCTACGCAAAGCCTTTGTTCTCATTTTCTCACCACCAATATTGGGGACATAAACATTGACGTCAATTACTGTCTACCAACTTTGGCTAGCAGCCAGCTCTCGCCACACTTCTGCATTCTGAAAAACTGGACTAATTAGTTTTTGGGTCAGGTTAAAGGCAATTTTATATGCTTCATACCCTTGCTAAACGCCGCCACGCTTATATGACTCCCCAGTTGTCGTTCATTTAAATACTCTCCTCCACAAGTCATGTGAAGGACAACAGCTACTGCTTCTGTTCTGTAAGTATTGTTTACTCTTAGTCTTAACATCTACTCTGAAAATTGGTATTTACCCACTCATACTCTTCTACCTTAACAGTACTATCTCTTAAAAACATTTATTGCATTATCTGAAAGTACAGCAACCAAACAAGGTGAATAAAGTAGGGTTTAATGAATTCACTAAAACTCTGAATACTATATACAGGGATATGTGTGCCATTAGAATCACATTGGGGGATACAAGACTGATAAGCAAATAAACTACATTGAATCAATCATGCAAACGACAGCTGTGAGTAATTTTCAAATCATGTTGAAGTTGATAAGGGGAAGTGAGCATGAGAGATTGAGATAAGATGCATTATGTTTCAATTGCATCACTTCAATAAACAGTTTTCAGAGGAGAAACTTGAATATATCAAAAATTGCTAACCGAGTAATATTGATAATCATAGTAATAATGTTAAAATGGGTTGAAATAATGGTGCTGATAAGAGACAGTTTTAAATGAATCAGGAATAATAATAATAGTGATAATAAGGGGTAAAATACTACATTAATAATAGTGGTAATAATAATAGCTAATAAGTAAAACATATTACCATGGTATATTCAGAGTGACCACCATTTCCTTCTGTGCGCAGAGACCTGGTTTATAAACTCTAATTGCACAAGTCTCCACAATAGCAAGCATCTTCCTATCTGCTAATAACAGTGAATCACTTGAAAGCGTCAATATCATGCCCAAAGTTTACAGGATGCTTTGTCATTCAACTTGTTGGCACTTTGATTTCAGTTGTTTTTGACCACTCTGGCGAATTCTCCATCATGCCAGTAGACAATCGCCTTTGCGTACGACCTATGTGTTTGCTTCCACAAACATACTCAGATTGATATACTCAGTTTGAAGTGTCGAAAATAGGCGACCGGTATTTCCAAAACTGTTGAAGCACCCTCTTGATGGTGTTAAGGAGCACGAGTTTTCCAGTATAATAATTTCTCCTGATAGCCTTATCCAGCCTTCGTTTGACATTTTTTAAATCATCTCTTTTAAATGGCTTATTTATACAGACAGTTTTCTCTGAGACTGTTTGGATAGTTTTACTGGGGCTTATTTCCTTAGAGTATTTATTGATGAACCTCTCAGGATATCCATTCTTAGACAAAATATACTTCAAAGTATTTATTCCATATTCACTTGTACTGTCAAAACAAATTTTGCGTGCTCTATTGAACAGTGTTCTGATTAAGTTCTTTTTATGTTGGACTGGAACAAAACTCTTAACATGTATGTACTGTACTGTCCTGTCCATGAATAAATACAAATCTTTCCATTGTGATGTCATTGCTTTTCATTAGAGAAACATCTAGGAATTTAATGGTATCATTTTCCTCGTGTTCTATTGTGGAGTTAAGATTCGGATGGCATGAGTTGAATTTTATCGATAAGTTTTCGGCTTTTGATTTGCTTTCACAGACAATAAAAATGTCATCAACATATCTTAAGTATAATTTCGTTTGTTGTATATGCTGTTGCAAAATACCGGGTTCTGGGTCTGACAAGAATAAATCTGCAAAAAGTGGCCCCAGGTGGTTTCCCATTGCAGCACCATTAAATTGACAGAATAGACACCCATAGAATTGGAATTTGGCATTTTTAGTACATATCATAGCAGTGATTTCCTCAGTTCCGATGTTGAAATGAGTATGTTAACTTCTTTACATACAAAGTCAATAGTCTCAATGACTGAAACATTTGTGAATAGGGAAGTGACACTGAAAGAGACTACATGTTCACCGGTTACATTAAGATCCTAAATTTTCTTCACAAACTGGAATGGATCAGAGACTATATACATTTCAAAGCGTTGTCGCAAGGGCTGCAATAGTTCACATAGCCACTGGGCTAATTTGTGTTATTGTGAAACTTTCATTGGAAAACACAAATTAGCCCAGTGGCTATGTGAATTATTGCAGCCCTTGCGACAACGCTTTGAAATGTATGTAGTCTCTGATCCATTCCAGTTTGTGAAGAAAATTTAGGATCTCAATGTAACCGGTGAACATGATGAAACAGCTGTCCAGTTACTCCCTGGTTTTCAATTATTATTATCATGTTCAGCAATAATATATTCCGTTCCTCATAACCGTATCTTTGATATTGATCGTTCTCTTACTGCAATTGTTTAGTTTTCCTCATATTTCATGATAAAGATATTACTTCTACGGAATTTCCGCCCCCCTCCCCCACCCCCACAAAATGATTTGTTTTTCAGGTATCGTGATCCAACACCTCAGATAGAAGCTGAGGCTTTAAAAGAAAATCGTGAACTGCTTGAACAAGCAGAGAAAAATATGAATCAGAAAAGCAATCGTACTACTTGCGGTAATGCAGCAGCTGGACTTATCGTCTTACCTACTCGTGTAAATGCGAACGCTTCACAAGTCAATTCAACCGGTGGGACAAGTCAAAGTAGTGGTGCTAGTAGTATTAATGGCGAAAACACGGTCAGTGTACATTTTCCCACTTCTTGTGTTTCTTTTTACATTGTGAAAATTTCTACTTTGATAAAATTTGTCTTTGATAAAGCCCGAGTTAGAGTAAAACAATCATATATATATATATACCCCCGAAAACAAGGGGGTACTGGGCACCTGTTTCGTCCTAGTTTAGGACTCATCGCGAGTACGCACCCACTTCCAGGGTTCGATCTCAGGAGCTTCCGGTTACGAGGCAACCTTGTAGACCATTCAGCTACTGGAACCTGACACAGTGGCTAGTCCATAAATTCTGACTTCTACCAATTCGTGACTGGCACGAGCCATTGTGATCAGCGAGTATTTGTCCTCACTCTAGACTTGGTGGAACCCACTGATCACGACTTCTCACTAGAACTGCAAGCAGCTTCGTCTTGCGGCCAGTCACTAGCGTGATCAAACTTGAAACACATCAAATCACTTCAAACAAACTCTTCAGTATATATATATATATATATATATATATAAAAGTTCCTAGAGGAACATAGGGCTTCAGCCGCATGTCTCCATTGCCTTCGGTTCTCCGCCAGCGTTTTCACCTGGCTCCACGTCTGCTCACATGCTTTCATCTCCTCCTCCATGTCACCCTCACACTGACAACCAAGTCACCGCTTCCCATTCGGGTTCCACTCGAGTGATAGCCTGGCGTCTGATGTCACTTGATGGTTTTCTCAGAGTATGGCCAACCACCCACCTCCATTTCTTCCTGCGTATTTGTTGCACAATTGGTTCCTGATGGGTTGGTTTGCTGATTGCCAGAGATCCCTCCCTGTTGCTGATCTTTTCTGGCCGGCCATCTGATCTTGAGTAGTTAGTAGTGAGCAAAGACAGCTGTTGATGAAGATGTGTAGTTTGTTCACAGTGGCCTTCGTGACACGGCGCGGCGCGGCGCCAATTCTCTGATCTGTATAGTAAGTAGCACTGACTTTACATTGAAGTTGTGAATCCGCATCTTGTTTTTCATGGTGAGTGCTGTTGATCTCCACACAGTATATATATATATATATATATATGGTACTAGATCACAGGTTATGTGTACTGGGCTGTAGTTTGTTCAGTCCCGCCCTATTGCAGAATGCATGAAAATATTGCACAAGTCCGACAGTAGGTATTTTTATTCTGTTGCTTCTGTTAGTGGGAAATGAAGAATCATGAGTAACATTAAAATTGAATGTGGGAAAATATAGGTTGCTTGACAAAGGTTCTTAGCATGTTAAAACATCAGTGGTTGATGATGACTCGGTGAAACGGCTCAAAGTTGTGTATGAAAGCGTATTTGTATCCGTTGTTTATCGTCTTCGAAGTTTTGGATGTCATCCCTCCCTAATTTTTGCCAAGTTATCCTCTCCACACTGTTTTTCCATTGTATCATCATTATTCTCTGTCTGTTCATTTTTTGCACGTGATACTGTATCATGTGACAATCAGAACTGATGCTTTTTATGTAGGGTTTTTAGTGCTAACTAATTGTTGGTACTCACGAGATTTCAAGCCCTACTGATAATGTGATATCTTGTAATACTGGTCGGTTGCTTGGGTTGGAGTGATTAAACCCACGATTCGAATATAAATGCCTAAATTAGTCAGCCACATCTGCATGCATCAGAGAAAAAATATGTTTTTATTTTCATCCCTATGGAAAAAGTGCATACAATTGCTCCCCACATACTTCAAAATTTCTTTCACTAACTGTTTGTGCTAGTGCGCCCGCAAAAGAGGGGGAATTGCGTGTGTGTGTGAGACTAGCATCTCCACCATCACTACCGGAGCCCCCCCCCAACCTTAACCCCCCACTATGTTCCACTCGAAACGTAAGGAATAAAAACACGGCTATGCTGTAATGTGTTGAGCTATTCCTAAACTAGCTGGGTCGTAAATTCAATTCCACTTACTTCATTATTAGTAGATATATCACTGTAAGACTTTAATTATTTAAAAAAATTCCCACATTTTGAGTATATAAGTATAGTTCTTTTCAGATGAATGATTTCAGTCAGCGATATACTTTACTTCGGCTATCTCCTACGGAAGGATGAGCCGGCTTCATGAACATCTCGAATCATCGCTGCCCAGGCGCGGCGATCTGATGAAGAGAGTTCATGAAGTTTCATGGGAATTTGGTACGAGTGATGTCCCCAGAATCGCTCGGCCTTTTGTTTGAGAGTGCAGCTCTAGCCTTTACACAACCAAGTGTGACCTACAAGGCAGTAGGAGTGGAGTAGGGAGTCCACTATCCATTGGCAGCCGGTGACCGAAGTTCGGTTCATACGCCTTTTTGAATGGGGCCAGACATCCAGGAAATCCAACAAGCCCTTTGTCCATACGTCTGCCGGTGAGCTCCAGTGAGTTTCATACGCCAGTCGTTGGAGGTTTGGAATCAGGGTTTAGCCATCTCCCCTAGACTGTCATCCAATGGACAGTCAACTCGGTGAAGAGCGCCGGGCATCCGCTTTCGCCCTCTCACTTTGGTGAAAAACACCTCCGCCACGTGAAGGCAGTGAGTAGGACTTCCTCAGGAGAGGCTATGTAAGACGCCCGGTCATATGGGAGCATTTCAAGAGGTGTGCGGAGGGGTGGCCAACCCGCAGCGCAAGGCACCCACCCCCGACCATTCTGAGGCTTTGGAGGTATGCTTGATATTAGTTTCGTATTTTGTTATACTCATGAGCTAACATACATCCTCAATTTTATGGGTACTCATTCATCAAATAGGAGGACTTCATTATTGGTATTATTACGTTCTACGCTTGTGCAGATTAATAAAATTCTGTTTCTCAGATTCTCAAAGATGATTTGGGGGTAATGTTTCTAGAGTTGAAAAGGAGAAGTTGAAGAAATGTGGTTTAGTTGAATCGCATCTCTCTCTCTCTATCTGTCTGTCTGGATTCAACATAGAACTTGGCACCGAAGTGCAGCAGTTCGAGTTGCCACGTTCCAAATAGCACACAAAGGTAGACAAGAAAATGAGTGAAGAGAATCAATAGAGTTTTGACAAGTATAAGAGTGAAACAGAATGAGTAATGGTAGAAAGGAATATGAAAGATTACAGAGACTGAATACATCTGCGCCGTTGACAACGATTTTGAGCCCTGTCACCTATTGTCTCCAGCCATTGATTCTTAGAGTCCCGAGGGTGGCCCCAACCCGGAAGTCTGCATCTCCCTACCTGACTCAGTTTAACTGTCAAGGATTTCATGGATTGATGAGGCCATGTTTTTGTTCGGCCACCACCTTACTCTTTTCCAACCTGCACCTATATCAGCTAGTAATGCCCGTCGGGGTGGGGGAGGCGATGGTTAGGCATGCGCAGCACGTGACCTAGCCATCTCAATCTATGTAACTTTATAGTCTCTTCGATTGATTTTCCCTCTTTGCCCAACACTCTTAGCCTAACGTCAACATTACTTACCTTATTATACCACCTAACGTGAGAAAGAGATCGTAGACATCTATGATCAAAAACAGTCAACCTTTTCATGTCTTCAACTCGTATTGGCCATGTTTCAGAGCCATAGAGAAGGACGGAGCGAACTGCTGAGCAGTACACACGTCCCTTGGTTGATAGCCGGATAAAGATCCTGTCTTACTATGACCATCCAATCTGAATGTGTTCAGCTTTTCAGATAGTAATGATAACTACATTTTGGCATGGGTTAATCACCATGCAGTATATCAGTCAAGTCTGATGACGATATATAGAAATGTTGTTTATTCACACGCGGAGCAGTTCGCTTCAGAAGTTACAACAAAAAATGGAATAATGCTATTTTCTAGTGGAATTAATTGTTGCTCTTTAATAAATTAAGCCATCTATCATTCGACTTATTGATTCCTCAGTTTGCAACCCCATATGGTCCGGGATTCGATCTCCGGCCGACGCACACATGATATCAATGGTTGGCCTGCTAAATTTGGACTACGGATATCACATCCTGAAAATTCCATACTTGTACCAAAATACAGTGAAATGAAGCTGTAATAAAATTAAAATTAAAAATTAATTAACTTTCATACCTCTCCGATTCACTTTTAGGCACCACAGCAGTCTGTTACAAATCACGTTGTATCTAGTCAAAAGCAGGATGCATTTAGTTCCCAAGCTAAAATTAACACAGATCCATTTGCTTCGTTTACACCAAATTTTCCATCGACTGGCAAAGAAGATCTTTTCGGAAATTTCCCCCAAAAAGTTACAACCTCTACCACCAATGTGAATATGATGACCCAACCGTTTCCCAGTGTACATTCAACTATGCCTACTAGTATGTTTACAAATTCATCGGTGAATACAACTAACAATTTCTATGGATCGAATAGTAGCGGTGACAAGTATGCTGCACTCGCAGAACTTGATGGTCTATTCAAAAATAGTGGAATTAATTCATCTACTTCAGAAACTGTTGAAAAAGCAGTTAACGATATCACTGTATCTAAAAGTAACATTCCTATTGTGAATACTAGTCATTGGGCCACATCATTCACACCTCAAATTTCTTATCCCAGCAATACTGTTGTTGGAACACATGGATGGCCTACAAATACACCTTTCCAGGATACTACACATACACATACACTAAATCCCTTTGCAAATTCAGCAGTCGGTGTTCAAAATCCTACAGCGTTTAACAGAATCCCTAATCCATTCACAAATTATCCTATTGTTGCAGCCTCTCCAAATATCAATCATCAGTTCACTGAACCAGTCAGTTTACCGAAATCAGATAGTAGTAAAAATCCTTTTCTATCCATTACTCAACAGTCATTTAGTGTGAATCCATTTTCCAATTTAACAAATCCTACTGCTATCTCGTATCCACAATCAACTATGAATTCATTCTTACCAATTAATATGCACTCAGTTAATAGCTTTCCAACAAAAATGAATAATCCTGTGGTAAGTGGACTTTTTGATTGAAGTGTGTTGCATTACATTGAGTAGTCATTTGTTATTTATTATTATTATTGTTCCCTTGAGTTCCTAGTGGAACATAGGGCTTCAACTACACGTCTCCACTTGCTTCTGTTCTGCTGTACTTTTCACCTGCGTCCATGTTAATCCATATTGTTTCAATTCCTCTTCACACGATCTCCTCCATGTCACCCTTGGACGTCCCACTCGCCGCTTCCCTTTCGGGTTCCACTCGAGCTGGCCTGACGCGATGTCACCCAGCGACCTCCTCAGCGAGTGTCCAATCCATCTCCTGCATATTTGTTGGGCGATTGGTTCCTGTTTTGTTTGTTCCCATAGTTTCTTGTTGGTGATTCTTTCCGGCCGGCCATCTGATCTTCAGTATAGAGCCAGCGAAAACAGTTGTTGATAAAGGTCTGCAACAGGCTGTTGGAAATATTCTTTGTGACCCGACAAGTTTCTGATCCGTATAGAAGAAGTGACTGACTTGACGTTTGTATTGAAAATCCGAATTTTGTTGTTGATGCTGAGTGACAAAGATTTCCAGATTGGTTTCAGGTTGATGAATGTGTTTCTCGCCTTCCCGATTCTCGATTTGAAATCGTCGTCCGTTCCTCCTGTAGTTGAGACAATGCTCCCTAGATAAGTGAATGAAGTAACCTCTTTCAAATCCCTCCCGTTGATGGTGATTGGCGGTGGATGTTGCTGCTGTTGTTGTTGTTGGTTGGTTATTTTCATAACCTCGGTCTTGTCTATGTTCACCTGGAGTCCTGTCTTCTCTGGTTGCTTCTTCGACCAGTTTGTCGGTTTTCGCTTGTAAGCTTTCGATTTTGTGTGACATCAAGCACAAATCATCCGTGGAATCTAGGTCTTCTAGATTCTTCACGTCGGTCCAGGATATCCCTGTCTTCTCGTTTCCCACTGCCTGACGCATAATCCAGTCCACCACAATTAGGAATATCATTGGTGATAATAAGCACCCTTGTCTGACTCCTGTGTTTACTCTAAACGCCTCGCTGAGTTTTCCGTTGTGGATCACTTGACATGTGCCGTTTGTTATTTACTAAGCGCAAATTTGACATATTTTCTCAATCGTTGGATTGTAGTAATTATGACAATTTTTCCGTGACTTATGAAAATGTTTATCTCGTAACTTTTGGATGGTGATGCTTTTAGGTTTACGTAATGCTTTCCTAACTAGTTATCATATTTACAAATTTCTGTTCATTTCACTTCATTAAATTCATTAGTATTATGATTGTTTGATATGATAATCGTTCACCAATAATAATAGCACGTTTAAGTTTACACCACCACATCATCGTTATTATTTCATAATCATTATTGTTGTCGTTATTTTCACCCTTGAACTTACGTGTCTAGTCCACCCCGTTTGTTTGTTTATTTTTCTCTAATATTCATACTGTCTCACATACCACTGATTACATTCACCTTCGAAACCTGTACATTTGTTGACTATGTTTACATAATATGCACACACAGAAGTGCTCTTGAGCTGCAATCCACGAATGTTTGGCATGCGATTCGCTCCCGCCAAATGTAAGATGATGTTACAGGATTGGACTACACCGACTCCTAGATTAGAAATAGGGAGTGAAGTAGTGGTATAGCATGTTGACCGCTTCACTTACTTGGGAAGTTGCATCAGCCAATGCCAACGGGTTGATCTCTGACGAAATCTCAGCACGGATAGAGAGGGCTAGTTTCGCATATGCCAGTTTACGCCGTCTTTGGCGTAGACGTGATATCCAAAGGACGAGTGTACTGCTCAGCAGTCCTCCTTCATGGCTGGCTGTGGGGTCTGGCTATTGAGAGTGAAAGACATGAAAAGACTAGCTGTCTTTGATCATAGGTGCCTACGTTCTATCTCCCGTGTGAAGTGGTACAATAGGGTGAGCAATATCGAGGTTAGGCTTCAGTCGAGTGCTAGGTAAGGAGGGAAAGTCAATCGGTGAGACTGTGAAGTTATGTCGACTGATATGGTTAGGACATGTGTTATGCATGCCTCGTCATCACCTTCCTCGACGGGCAATGTTAGCTGATATAGGGTCAGGTTGGAACAGAGCCAGTGGTGGTTAAACCAAAACATGGCTTCATCAGTCAATGAAATCCACAACAGTTAGTTTAAGCCAGCCAGTCAAGTAGGGAGGTGTAGACTTCCTGACTGGTTGGAGTCCTCAGGACGATAAAAACCAATGGCTGGAAACCATTGGTGATATGGCTCAAAATCGTTCTCAATGGCGCAGATGCATCCACTCCCTGTAACTTATGATTTCCAAGGAAACTATATTGTTCTTCGTTATTACTATTCCTTTGTCTCACACTTCTGTTTACTGTCTCTATTATGCATTTCTTCTAATTTCTTCTCCTTTGTGTGCTACATGGAGTGTGGCGACTTGAACTGCTGCACATCGGTGCAGAGTTCTATGTTGAAAACAGACAGACAGATAGATACACATCATAAAGTGGTTTCACCTCATTTTATCTCATGTTCTCATTGGCCATGCATATTCAAAACTAACTGACTAGTATTAGATGGTTGAGGGTAATCCGCAGGAAGCCTTGGACCTAGGTCTCGTGCTAGTTGTCACTCACAAGTCAGCAAGGTGTATCTGCAACCTCAAAGGAACTCGTTTGCCTTTTGAAATTCGAATCCGCGTCACCCAGTTAGCACTGCAGTCAGAGACGTTATCACTGGGCTACTCAGGCTTGCGATTGACCTCCTATAGGACTGACTAGTGTCCAGTCAAAAATAACTAACTGACTAGTGTTCCATCCCATCTTACACTTGTTCCACAATGCATTTCTGATATGATTCTAATTTGCTTTCTTTACTGACTGGTTGTTGTGTGCTTAAATGACTGGATTTATAATTGTAGAGAGAGGGTGAAGAAGAATTTATTGAAATCACAATTGTTCACTGTAACTATTTGTGTTCTGAATAAATTATGGGATTATTCAAGTTACTGAAAAAAACATTCTTATCGATAACTTCCTCTTGAAAGCTCTACAGTTATATACTCATGTTAGTTTAAGCATATATTTTCTATAACATTCAGTAGCCACGCCACCAATTTCATATAGGAGCATTTAATGTTAGGACACTTTGCCAAATAGGACAACAAGCATCACTAGCCAAGACTTTGGCATCTCGAGCCATTGATGTATGTTGTGTTTCAGAAACACGCATACAAGACCCAAGTGTGGTTATTCACCTAACCCCACCTGGCCAACAGGATGAATCTGCAAAATTCACCTTGAGGGTGTCAGGAGATGCAACGGCTAGCTCTCGAGGATTAGCTGGTGTTGGGATAGCTTTAAGTACTAGGGCAGAAGAGACATTACCTGACTGGATCCCGGTAGATAGCCGAATGTGTGCTGTCCGTCTGAACGGATCAGTGAAAAGGAGAAAGGACTGCACTACCCGCCGATGCCTTTTCGTAATCTCCGCCTACGCCCCCACTGACTGCAGTTCGGATGAAACGAAGGATGAGTTCTACCAAAAGCTGTCTAGTTTGCTGCAAAAGGCTGAACGCTCAGATATAGTCCTTCTAGCTGGTGACTTTAATGCTTAAGTAGGGAAATTGTGTCAGTCTGAGAAGAATGTCGGTGGCACATACGGAATTCCGTGCCAGCGAACCGACAACGGTGACCGTCTCCTACAGTTCTGTTCAGATAATCATTTGTTTCTTGTAAGCACTAACTTCAAACACAAGGGGAGACACTGTTTGAGCCGGCGACCCCCATCATCAAATCAACGCTGGACACAAATAGACCACATAGCAATAAGCTATCGTTGGCGTGGGTCGGTAGGGGATTGTCGCTCCTTCTGGAACACGTGTGTAGATACCGATCACGCACTGGTCCGCGCTCGTGTGTGCTTACGACTGAACGGACGTAGAAAACAGCTGGCGGTAAACCCATCACGTCCTCAGCTCGATCAGGAAACTAAGTCCCTATTTGAGGAAGAACTAGCTAAACACATATCTGAGTTCGACAGCTGCGCTCACCCTGAAGAAGCCTGGAAGAATATTCAGTCAGCCATAGATACAGCTGTAAAAGCTGTGAATAAGGTAAATCTAAAGGTGAGTAAAAACCATTGGATTTCGACTGCCTCATCCGAACTGATAGATGCTAGAAGACTTATTCCGGCGAGCTCCGAATTCAATTAGGAGCGAAAACTGCACAAAAGGAAACTTATGAAAAGTCTCCGCAAGGACCGTGAACAGTGGTGGTTGACAAAGGCGAAAGAGATGGAAAAAGCATCGGCGATAGGCAACACCAGACAACTATTCATGCTTATCAGGGAAACAGGTGGTAAAAGCCAAATGATAAGCGAAACAATCTCGGAGAAAAATGGCACCATAATTAGCTCCCAGGATAGACGTCTGGAGCGCTGTAAAGAACACTACGAGGAGCAGTTTAATTGGCCCACATCCACACTTAGCCTGCCGGACATCCAACACCTCCCTGAATGGGATATAGACACAGGTCCTCCGTCCTTAACTGAGGTTATTAAAGCTGTCACCAATCTGAAGCAAGGCAAAGCAGCGGGACCTGATTTATTGACTCCAGAGGTATTTAAGTACGGTGGAGACAGTTTACTGTGCGTTAACCGAGGTTCTAGGCAGCGTCTGGGAATCAGAGGAAGTCCCATCGGGTTGGTGTAAGTCACTGATCATCCCGATATACAAGAAGGGAGACAAGTCTTCTTGTGATAATCACAGAGGGATTAGCTTGACTAATATAGTATCTAAAATCCTAGGCTCAATAATACTGCGTAGACTAAGTGGTGCTCGTGAGGCACAAACACGAGAAAACCAGGCAGGTTTTAGGCCAGGAAGAGGGTGTATTGATCATATCTTCACCTTTCGACAGATTCTAGAACATAGGCATTCCTACCGGCGTCCAACAATCATTATATTTCTTGACCTAAAGGCGGCATTCGATTCTGTCGACCGAGAGGTTCTCTGGCGATGCTTGGCTGTGAAGGAAATGCCGAGAAAATACATTGCACTGATTAAGGCACTCTACTCGTACTGATGCAGCCAGGTGAGGGCTAATGGCGAGATGTCATCTGAAGTGGTGACGACTAGTGGCGTCCGTCAAGGATGCCCATTATCCCCATTCCTATTCAACTTCATCATAGACGTACTAATGGACTTAACCCTAAGTGACTTCAGAGACTCAGGGATTGACTTGCTACCAGGGAATAATCTGGTCGACTTAGAATATGCAGACGATATAGTCGTTTTAGGCGAGGACTCTGACGAAATACAGAGTCTACTGAACACTTTGAGCTGCAATCTAAGAATGTTTGGCATGCGATTCGCCCCTGTAAAATGTAAGATGATGCTGCAGGATTGGACTTCACCGACCCCTAGATTAGAAATAGGAAGTGAAGTGGTAGAGCACGTTGACCGCTTCACTTACTTGGGAAGTACCATCAGCCCCAACGGGTTGACCTCAGACGAAATATCAGCACGAATACAGAGGGCTAGGTTCGCATACGCCAATTTACGCCGTCTCTGGCGTAGACGTGATATCCGACTATCGGTCAAAGGGCGTTTGTACTGCTCATCAGTCCGCTCCGTCCTCCTTTATGGCTGTGAGACCTGGCCATTGAGAGCAGAAGACATGAAAAGATTAGCTGTGTTCGATCATAGGTGTCTGCGTTCTATCTCCCGTGTTCACTGGTATAGTAGGGTGAGCAATATTGAGGTTAGGCATCAATTTATTGCTAGATAAGGAGGGAAAATCAATCGACGGCTCTGTGAAGGTACATCGATTGAGATGGCTAGGACATGTGTTGCGCATGCCTAGCCATCGATCGCTTTCCTCGACTGACGGTCCATGTCAGCTGACATAGGATGGATCAGGTTGGAAAGGAGTTAGCCAGTGGTGGTCAAACCAAAACATGACTTCACTAGTCAATGAAATCCACAACAGTTAGTTTAAGTCACCCAGCCACGTAGGTAGGTGTATACTTCCTGACTAGTTGGGGTCCTTGGAGTGGTAAGAACCAATGGCTGTATGCATTCAGTGATATGGCTCTAAATCGTTCTCACTTATGGCTGGCGCAGATGCATCCACTTCTTGTGACTTATAATATCCAATAAAACTGCATGGCTCTTCGATATTACTATTCTTTTTGCCTCATATCTCTGTTTATTGTCTCAGTTTTGCATTTCTTTTTACTTTCTTTTCTTGCTTTGTGTTCTAAGTGAAGTGTGGCAACTCGAACTGCTGCACATCGGTGCATAGTTCTCTGTTGAAACCAGTCAGTCAGTCAGTTAACAACTTCACATTTATTTTATTAGTCACTATGCATTTGAAAATGTAAAACTTATGAAAAAATTCATTAAACAAATTGTCTATAATTACTTTTTCGGTGCGTCGGTGGCACAGCTGTTAGGACGCTCGCCTACCATGCACATTGTCCGGGGTTTGATCCCCGGCCGACGCACTCCTTTACCTCGCTAAGCCAGTAAAAGAACTGGGAAAGAGGGAAGGTTGGGCATGAGGCTAGCAACCCCATCCCGTAAAAGTAAACACCACTGCTACAGAAACTTTGAGCTTCTAGCTTGAAGCCCTATGTTCCACTGGGAACGTTAAGGAATGAAAAAAAAACTTTTGTACAGCTGTGATAAATGAAATCGCCAGGAAAAATCCCGAAGTTCATGCGTTGTCTTTCCTCTATATATCCTGACAAGGATTATCCTCGAATTTATGATTCTTCCCTTCATTGACTTTGAATAAAACTTATTAAAATATTTGATGACCAGTTTGGTGTTATGTCACAGGTACATATATTTCGAACTGTATTCTAGTAATAGTTATCTTGTATATTATCATCCGCGCACATCTTTCTGGTGTTACACTCTTCGGCCTATTGATGGTAGTAGTGACTGGTGATAACAAACTCATAACTGTGGAAGTTGAAGAAGAATTTGTTGGAAAGAATGTTAATTTTGAGTATTTGACAGCTGTTTCGTCAGACTAGTTTGGGACTCATCGTCAGTGCGGCGTTCGAATCCAGTACCTTCCAGTTAGCAGTCAAGCTCGTAGACCTTACAGCCACTGGAACCCGACTCAGTGGCTAGTGCATGAATTCTAACTTCTACCATTTGGTAATTTTAGCGCGACTGGCACCAGCCAGTGGACCACGACTTCTCACTAGAACTGCAAGCAACTTCGTCCTGTGGCCAGTCACTAGCGAGTCTGTAAGCTCGCCTTGTAACCGGAAGGTGCTGGGTTCGAGTCCCGGTGGGTGTGTGCTGCCGATCAGTCCCAAACTAGTGTGAAACAGCTGTCCAGTACTGCCTGGTTTTCAATAGTTCTGTGAGTGATATCATTGCGTTATCAAAATTGAAACAAATCAAATCCGAGCAAACAAACTCTTGATGAGAAATAGTTATGGAAAAAGACATATTTGATACACTCATATATTTTGGTAGGACTGGTTAGCTGAATACTCTGCATACAAAATACATTTCATATCATGACCCTTATAGTCACTTTTTAAATTGTTTAGTTAGAAAAGAAATTGTGAATAGAGTTGTGTAAAAGTTTGTATATCGAAAATGGAAGTGAAAGCACAGTTTCATGCTCAGAAATTTGCATGGAAACTCCAGAGAAAACTGGAAGCATTGTTATACATAAATTGATGTCATCAACGTCGGACGTGTTACTGACAAGAATTTGTGAGTAGTATGTGAGTAGTTGTTTCCTTCTACCCTAATCTTTGGATAGCGGAACAATGGATTAAGTTGCAAGGAGAAGTGAACAATATTTTTTGAAACAGTATAGAAGGCATGAAACAAAGACAAAATGAGCAGAATACGAATAACTTTTGCAAATTGAAGTTTGAATGTAGAGATTTTATAGAGATTTTACCATCTCTATATTCCATCTTTCCAAAATGACTGACTGCTTTCAGCATAGAACTTTGCACAGAGGTGCACTAATTTGAGTTTCCACATTGTATGTAGTACACAAAGCGAGACAAAACAGAGAGAAAAGAAGAGATCCGAAAGAACGATAGTAGACCAAAATGTGAGAAAGAAAGAATATCAACGTAAAAAAAGTGTTTTATTAGATATAGAAGATCACAGCGAGTGAGTTCATCTGCGTCATTGAGAACGATGGGTTTGAGCCATACCACGAATTTTCTCCATTCATTGGTTTTTAGAATCCCAAGGACCCCAACCAAGCCTAGTAGTCTATGCCTCCCTACGTGGCTCAAATCAGCTGTCGAAAAATTTCATGATTCTTGTCAAATCAACCATTCTGTTACCAAGTACCATTAATATTATGACGTTCAAAAGCAAGCACATCTACAAAAATTTCTTTTGTTACTGCATACATTGATTGATTGATGATTGATCGATATCAGAATTTATAGATTAGAAAAGAAACTCTCATTACTATAAAATATTTATTCATTCAGTGAAATGTGTAAAATTCATAACTTTAGACTAATCATGTGAATTTCAACAAATAGGGTACTGTTTCACTATTGGTCTACTTGATTGTCTCAGCTCTTTTCTCGACGGGCAATGTTAACTGACATAGGATAGATGATCAGGTTGGAAATGAGCTAGTGGTGGTCAAACCAAAACATGGCTTCATCAGTCAATGAAATCCACAACAACTTCATGCAATTCTTCCCATTAATAAACTTGAACAAAGCAAGAACAACAATTGTACCAGGATAATATGAGCTCTATGTACGCAGAAAGAGACAGTGGTGAATCTTGCACTGCCCTGGTGACAACAAAATATACAACTTGTATGAGTCACCTTTTTCTTGTTTAGAAAACTCTACTCTCTCATCTAAACATGACTCACCCTTTCTTGTTCTTTTCTCTTCCTTTTTTTCTATTGGCTATTAGATAAAGCATTTTCTTTAGTTACGTATTCTACCTTTTTGTTATGCTCTGTCTAGCTAAACCTTGTTTCTATACACACACATATATATATTTGCAACTCTGTTTTTGTTTCCAAGCCTAATTGCCTAATTATTCTATAAATATTTATAAACTGTCAAATATTGATCACAGTTCATTTGAATTATTCTATAAATAGTCAGTGTTTGTAACTCTTAATTAGTTAAATCATTCCGGACTAATGTTACTTTTACTTCCTACCAATTACTCCTTGTGATCGTGGAAAAGTATGTTCAAATCTTTAATGTAATGTAATTCATATTTTTTATCGTTCAGGTTGTAACCAGTTGAGAAGAATCCTCGAAATAATAATAAAAGATGAGCTCATATTATCCTGGTACAATTGTTGTTCTTGCTTTGTTCAAATCCACAACAGTTAGTTTGAGCCAGCCAGCCAGCCATGTAGGGAGATGTAGACTTACTAACTAGTTAGGGTCCTCGGGATTCTGAAAACCAATGGCTGGAGACAATTGGTGTTATGGCTCAAAGTCATCGTTGTCAATGGCTGGCGCAGATGCATTGACTTTTTGTGATTTATCATATCCAAGAAATTCTGTTGTTTTTCACTTACAATTCTGTTTGTTATCTCTCTTTTTTGAACCTCTCTTTACTCTATTTTCTTGCTTTGTGTGGTATATGGAGTGAGTGTGACAACTCGAACTGCTGCACATCTGTGCAAAGTTTTTATGTTGAAACCAGTCAGTCAGTCAGATTGTTTCAGCTACACATCTGTTATGCAGACAGCAATGGCATTTTGATGTTTCTTGTCGAGAAATTAGTGAAGTACCAGGAAAATATTTACCAACTGCTGTGCAAAACATTTTTTTGATTATATATTTGTTTATTTATTTAAATTATTAATTCAAAATATCAACTGTGTTTTTTTTGTTGTTGTTGAAATTTCATCCACTATCACATTATTGTTCATAGAATGGAATGGTTGGACAGCTGGGGTCTAGCGGATTTCCAGATAACAACAACAACAATAACAATGGGGAAACGTCTCGTCCTCAAATGTCTAATTTCAATCCTTTTTGAAAGAAAAAAAATGCAAAACAAAAACAAAACAAACAAACACATCAGAAGTCTAGAATCAGTTTTGTTATTTCTACGCATAGTGGTTAAACAAATCTTATTTTCTTTAATATATAATATTTATCGACGTTGGCATATCGTCGGTTTTATATAGTTGTTCAGATGCGTGGATTACATTTTCAGCGTCTAGTACACACACATATATTGATTATTACATGCACACATGGACACAAATACGTGTCATTGATTGATTGATTGATTGATTGGATTATTCATTTGAAATCATTATTTCCAGCAGTCGCATTTTTCGGTCGTTGTTTTTGTTTTTTTTCTTCTCCTTCCATCATCCAACTTTTTGTCTTGACTAGACGACTATTTGAAGTTGTTATTTATTTAAATTTATTTTATTTTATTTTATTGTGATCATTTATTGTTAATATTCTTTTCAGCCATTTTGTGTGTGTGTGTGCGGTGTGTTTATTGTCTTGTTTTCCGGTTGAATGATGATTATGGTGAATACTGTCAGTATTCACATGTTTTGCATCTCACACACACTCTCTTCCAAAACTAAAATTCTCTTTGTTTTGTGAATTGCGTTTCCTGTGAATAAAAACGGTAGATGATTCCATTATTATTATTATTATCACCACTACTAATATTATTATTATTATTGATTATTTAATCCCAATGATAGTTTTGTAAATTTTTACTCAAGGCTATAATGATACTTACTTAATAAAGCATCATCTTTTAGATTGATTACATTCCAAGATACACATATATAATATAATATACACATAGATTTCCATGAAAGTCATAGTACCTACCATTACTACATGTTTGTGTTGATTATCTTGAGAGAATGGAGGGTAGAAGTGAGAGAGAGAGAGAGGGAGACAGAGGGGGGTGTCTTATTCTTCTAATCCTCTGAGATGTTTCTCTTCTCTTCACTTACATTATTGAATCATTGCATAACTTACCCTAACATGATCACATTTGATTTGTTATACATACAATCTTAGGCAAATGTCAATTCTTTATTGTTATTAGTTACTTATATATACATATATAATATGAGATATTGATTTATTATTATTTCTTTTATTATTTTTTCCTTCTTTTTGTTTCCATACATATATATATGTATATGCGTGTATATTCAATATTGGTAGTTGTTGATGTGCGCGCGCTAGTATTGTTATTTTTTGATTTCTTTCCCTCTAATTTTCCTGATTTTACTTTCCAAACTTTTACTTTGAAGTGTTGTGTATATTCGCCTTTTCTCTCTCTCTCTCTTTTGTGTTACACAAAATGTCTAACGATCTCATTAATTTTTGTCTTATATTGTATATATATATAGAGAGAGGTGGATAGATAGATAGATTTGTGAATTGTAATCCTATTCGACATAAATCTGATCTGCTTATAAAATGTGTGATAATTGATTACCCTTTTTCTCATGTCTCTATGTGTGTGTGTATACTGCCTACTTTATTGGATGGGCTTGGTTATCTTATGGTGTGTGTATGTGTGCGTGTGTTGTGTTGTTTCAATGTGAATCTCATCATCGTAATCATCGTCTATCTGTGGTGTAGCCATTTATTCAAACAGTACTTTGTCGACGTTTGTTCATGTTTGTATGTGTGTGTGTGTATCAGAGGGTCATTCATTATCATTATATTATGACTGGTATTGTTATTTGCATTCGGCCTCTATATTTTGTCATTATGTCTTCATCATAGCAAGCACACATCGATTGTGTGCTGCTGCTGCTGCTGCTGTTGTATCAACTCTCTTTGTACCTCTTATGAACAACAACAGCGTTATTTCATTCAGTCTGGGTTCTTTTCTTTTAAAAAAAAATAACGTTTACTAATAATAAGTATTACGGAAAGCGATCATATATGATCAGTGTGATGCTGTGTGTGTATTTATTATATGACCTGCAAATTGATATGACTCTGTAAAAAGTATCTTTCTATCTGTCTGTTCTGTCTGTGTATCTGCATACATTTGTGTGTGTGTGTCTGCCGGCGTGATTTTGTCTTCAGTCAACATCTAAGTTGCTATCGTCCTCCTATGCCTGGTGGGACAGTATTGGTGAATTTCAATTTCTTTTTTTTCTTTTCTAACATACAAATTCCTTGATTGATATGTCTGTCAACACCATCATTACCCCAACAACAGCAATAGCAGTCAAGATGGGATGATAGAACAGCAGATTTGTCTTACATATATATGTCATCACCTACCCCCCCCATTTCAACTCTTTTTTTGGGGGGGGGGAAAGTGATTGACAATGTTGGATTCTTCTCCTTTTTCCTTTTCTTCTTATCATCAATATTATACATACATATGTAGTCAACAAAATATATATATGATTTCAATGATCTCTGCATACTGTTTCTTTGAATATATAAAAAACAAGGGAAGGAAAATAATAGTTAAGTAGAGTAATGTCTGATTTTGTAATCAATCTACTAACGAGGTATCCTCTAATACAATTACATATAACACGTGATGTGGGAGAGGAGGTCTACTCCACTATTGTCAAGTGATATAGCGAGATAAAGATGTGAGCTTATAGACATTAGTCTTCGAACAGGAAGACTATAAGTATCATTAATGTGTAAGTGTAAAACTTGGGGCTCTGTGGTAGAATCTAATTTTATATTAGATAAGTTTATTTTAAATATTACACAGTAATGATGTAGTATTAACAACTGAATGACAAGGTTTCGAGCATAAATTATTATCATACCAACTAAAGTTGATGATAGCAACCAACCATTTTGGCATTAGCAGTAACAATAAATCACGAAAAATACCCATTTATTCATAAGTAAAAACACAGTTTTTTTGTTCAGCGAAGAAATTTCTTTTCAACGACTTCATTTTCAAGCTGTACAGTCGTATTTATATTACAGAAAAGGTTATTAAGTGGCACTAAATAATTGCTCAGTCAATATACATATATGTGTATAAGAATAACGATAATTAAAATGTTATAAGGGGTAGAGTTGAAGTGGATAAATTACAAAATTATTAAAGATTGTTTTATAAGTGAATTGAAATCAAAAATGTTTTAAAAATGTCAAGTGTTGTCTAAAAATTTTTAAAAAATTAGGAGTACGATTACGATAAGAATGAAGATGTGAAGTGAAGTGGTAAAATAAAGTAAAAACTAGAAAGAACATTACTATGACCAAGGTAAAGAAAGGGGTTTGACAAAACGTTTATGAACACATAATTTAGGTTTCTGTTCATGTATAGCTAAAGCTTCGGCTATGCATAAGTGAAGAAAACGTAAACTTTTGGATGGATTCGATTTTGCCATGTAGATAACTTTGAAAGATGAGTCACGTGGGGCTAAATGACCTGACTCTAACAGGTGGTCACAGATAGACGACTTCGCAGTTCTACGTTCGCCTTTCATTAACCAGACTGGATAGTGTTCAGCTACACGTTTTCGGATATTACGCTTACAACGTCCAATATAAACAGCTCCACAAGAGGAGGTAAAAGAGTAAATGCACATAGATGTGGACAATCGAATCCATCCAAAAGTTTACGTTTTCTTCACTTATGCATAGCCGAAGCTTTAGCTATACATGAACAGAAACCTAAATTATGTGTTCATAAACGTTTTGTCAAACCCCTTTCTTTACCTTGGTCATAGTAATGTTCTTTCTAGTTTTTACTTTATTTTACCACTTCACTTCACATCTTCATTCTTATCGTAATCGTACTCCTAATTTTTTAAAAATTTTTAGACAACACTTAAAATTTTTAAAACATTTTTGATTTCAATTCACTTATAAAACAATCTTTAATAATTTTGTAATTTATCTACTTAATCTCTTCCCCCTTATAACGACAATGGTTGGGGTCGCGCTAAATCATGGATTGGCGGAAGTTAGAATTCATGAGCCATTGAATCGGGTCCCAGTGGCTGAATGGGTTACGAGCTTGCCTTGTAACCGGAAGGTCCTGGGTTCGAACCCCATGTGGTGGGTGCGTACTGCCGATGATTCCCAAACTAGGATGGAACAGCAGCTGTCCAGTACTCCCTGGTTTTCAATGGTTCTCTAACTGATATCAATCCGTGATCAACTCGTAAAAACATAACTAACCCTTACAAACCAAACTATAGAAAATTTTAATCATCGTTATTATTATCACATATATGTATATTGACTGAGCAATTATTTAGTGCCACTTAGGAACAATAAACTCAAAAATCTACAAAAAATGTATAAAAGGATAATATTAGTAATAATGTTAATGGCTGAAATTGTAAAATTATTGAAATAATGTCAACATAAATTACAGATTGGAGAAGATGAAAGGGCCATTTATTTTGCTAATTACTTAGTAAGTTATAAGTTTCACGCTGAACAGTGCCTCTATCACACAGAATGCGGGCGGGCCGAATAGGGTATCTTTTTGAGCTTTTGTACTTAGTTGTGCGAGTGAGCGTATAATCTTTTAGAATGACTTCTAGTCCTACCTGATGAGATGCAAGGCAGGGAGGGTTGAGATTCAGACAATATGGATTTAGCTCATTTCCCACATGAGTCATTCAGGTAGCACACTACTTGCTCTATTGACAACCTTTAACACCCTAATCAATGGGACATTGTCCTTTTTGAGTAGCCCAGGTTAGACTTGAGGAGCAGTAAAGAACAAAAGGTAAGGTGAAAGAGTTAACAAACTGTAAAGCAAGAGGTTCAGTGATTCCTCCAACTTCTAAATGCAGTAGGTTAGATGGAGCACTTTCTTAGAAATCGACAAGGGTTATGGAATGACCGACCGATAGAGGTCAGAGGATAGAACTATTCCAAGATGTGTAATGCTTGACTAGGTTTCTATGTCAGTGCCCTTTATGCTACAAGCATCGTGTGAACGAAGGAGTTCGTGTAGACCACGTGTATGCCTGAAGGAAGGAATTAAAATCCTTTCGCACGTCAACTACTTCCACTACATAGAAGCTCACATCGATT